GTTTTCAATAAAAGAAATAAATTAGATAATTTCTGAGCTCAAATCTGCCGTATTTCATAAAATATTAATGTTATTATGTAATTCTGGTGAGTTTGAAGTGAAAATTTGTTTTAGTTATTTAGAGATATATTGTTAAAAAAGGTGACTCGGTTTCTAGATTTTGAATAACTCGCTTTTTTGGCAGTCTTGATATGGCCTCTTTCCATAAGTTTATTACTGTTTGTTCTTGTTGCAAGCTGTGCACCATCTTTTGTTAGTGTTAACACTTTTAGCATTGTAAACACAAGTAATAAGTAATCAAATACATTGTTTGCAAGAATCTCAAAGCACAATGCCAAATGGCTTTAAAATACAACGGAGACAGTAACCCGGAAATTTAGGCGGTACCGAGCTTGCAGCGTTCCCTAGTGTAGTAAACACCATCCATAGAACATAAATTAATTAATATATATTTATTCGGGTGAGACAAGTATTTACGTACCAGCACGCAGTGGCATGAACTCTGCACGTCTGGTTTATAAGTCATACGCATATGTGCGCTTGTCCAAATGTCACGTGTGGTTGACAGCATTGACGTTACAAACGCAAATATCATACGCAGTTTCAGCTATCTTTGATAACTGTGAACAGTGTTGAATATTTGCAGTGTTATATTAAAACTTTTATAGTTATGGATAATTAGTTATTGTTTCGATAAAACCTTTCATTTAGTTTAGATATCAATTTTAATTATCAATACATGTAAAAAAGAAGGTATAGCATTAATAGTTTGGATTAGTACAGCCCACGACAAAACTATAGCACGCTTTGTATTTTTTTACGAAACTTATTATTTAATAAATATTAAAGTATTTAAATTTTAATATTAGTATATTTTTTTATAAAACTATTGTTACACAATGTACTATTACTTTAATAAATGTTTAAAATCATAAAATAAATGTACAAACACAGTATCTAATACAGATTTATTTTAATTAACAAAAAATTACTTTTATGGGGGTCGATGAAGATTTCAAAAAATTATATAGGGGTCGACGATCAAAAAAGTTTGGCGACCCATGTTCTACTACCATCCGAATCTTCCCTATGCTTATTTAAAATAATAAACAACGACGCAAGATACTAACAGCAATCATAAAATCTAGTGTTATATAGCATCAAAATCAATGCAAAATAATACTATGGCGAAGTGAAGACATAATAGTTTGTATAGAATCTAATGTTATATAATACAGAGGAAACAGCGACCCTTTGTATTTTTTTATTGTTTGAAAGTTATGCAAAATAACATTAGATATTTCTGGTTTTTAATGTTATCTAATATGATGTGTTACTTGAGCATTTTTGGTACTCCTTAAGTGTGGTTTTTAGGAGCTGATGAAATTTTAAAAAATTTCTCTTAACAAATTTCAATGCAAACTGTCATTTCATTGCAACTAGATAGAACGTTCTACAAAAAATAAGTAAATGTGTGCAGCTATCAATATAATACCCCAATTATAATCCTTATACAAATAGCCCAAAGCGATTTGGTTTACCCCCCTTTTGTGTTAAAAAATTCAGTGCTGCAAACTACTACGCTTTTTGCAAAATATATTATTGAGTGGTAACCAATAAAAAAAAAACTAAATCTTACACAGTTTTTCGCAATTTTTCCAACATTTTAAAAGCTTCAATACGAGTGAGACGAAACAAAGTGGCTTTTAATGTAAGATTTCTAATCAATTACAAGTAGTGGTTTTAAAAATAACTGAATCAAAAAGTCATAAACTTCGGCATCACATTAAGGCATAAACTTAGTTACCACTAAAGAAAATTTTTCCAAAATAAAGCAGAAAGTTTGCAGGCCTGAAAATATAGTAAAGTTTGAAAAATAAAATATAGCCAATAGCTTCATACACACATAAAAGTTCCACATTAAAAATAAGATGTGTTGTAATATTTTAAGAATCACAAAAATGTCAATAATTTGGCACAGAATATTTTTCTTAACCTCTTTGAAGCGGGGGATGGGGACTACGGTGACGATCAAGGTAAAAAAGGTCAAACTGATAGCCAAACTATTTATTTAGCAGTTTATTTGTATAATTGTTTTAAAAAAATTATAACATTTTTGATTAACCTGATTAGATAAGTTAAAACTAAAGTGAAAAAATATGAGTCTGGCAAATTAATCGTGCTCATATTCTAGTTATCGAATCTATTTAAGACTGTCTCATAGAAGTTAACACATTGCAAGAGGGTCTCGTAAAAGTACGTTATTTTTTAAATTCCTGCAATCCATATAAATGTTTAAAAACTGGTAGCAAATCTACTTCGTTAACGCTCCATTTCTAAAACAAATTCTTGGTTCGTGATTTCCACAAACCAAAAAGGGTTTAGTATATGTGTAATTTTTTTTTTTTTTTTAATTGAAGTTGTAGCCATAGTGACAAGTTTGCTCTAACTTTTATGATATCTTGCCTGCCGCCTTTTTAATTTTTAACGGCTGTAATACAATTATTGGAAATGTTGACCGCGTGACAATGTGTTAAGAAGCCCTATGAAATAAAGAACAATAAAAAACTAAAATTGTAAAACGTCAACAGATTTGGGAGTAATTATCAACAGAAATGAAGTTAATTTTGATCGAACAATGCAAGCTGAAGTTGAAAGAGACATTATTTGCAATGATAAATCGATTGTTTTTGCATGAATAACGGGAATACCCATCTATCCAATTCAATTGATTTTATTAACTAAGCTCAGATAATACGAAACATACAATGCTTATTATTATCACAAATAGGTATTATTTCCAGCAATACATCTAAATATATAATATCACAGAAAAACTAAAAATAGAAATTTCATAAGGAGCAGTTTCATAATTATTATTCGAAGTTTAAAAAGCTTATTTAAAAATTAAAATTCAATTCATCTTAACTTTTGCTTTAATTATCCGATTTCTATTTTTTATACACCTATTTGTATTAATAAAACTAAAGTATTCAAAGATATCATTTTCCATGTTGTTGCCGCAGTTTATCATGCATTTTGGTAATGAAATGACACATTTTCTTTGAAGAAGAAACCATTTTTTTCTATATGGTTTCAGATTCTTAGATCTCAAACAGTGAGGAGTAGCCACATTCTAGAATATATGTTCTCTTAAAGTTCTTTTAGTTATAATAACACAAGTCAGTCAACGGTCGACCCGTTCAGCAGGATTTATGTTTGAAATCCCTTAAATCTAAGTCAGATAAAATCTAAAGCGATTAACTAACAGTATAATTTGTTCTTAAGTTGGACTATATTTATTGAGCACTTCAGAGCCCCTGTTACAAAATATTGGCAGTCGAAATGAGCTAAGGTGGCGTATGGAAGAACTCTTAACCACGGAGTTAACGGGACTTATCCCGGTGCTCCCTACAATTTGGTTACTTTCTGTTGAAATAAATTAAAAAAAGACTAAGTAATTGATATTAATTTTGCTTTGAATCTTCTTTTTTGGGGAAAAAAATATAAACGAATGATTCATAATAAAATTTCATTTTATCCTTCACTCTTTTCACATTGTTTACTCTTCTTCAAGGAAAATAAACTCTTTTTTTCATTTGACCACAATGTGGGAGCAAAAAGGTTGTAGGTCCATAGCATAACTGCCTGTAAATTCCTAGAAATTAACAACCACACCACACCTGCTTGATTAATTTTGTTTCTATCGAAAACAAAATGTTCCGGTAGAACCTTCTGTGTTAGGTATGAAAAAAAAAATTTATTCCATACCCAGAACCTTTCTGATGCGTTGTTGTTGTTGTTAATTTACGTCGCACTAGAGCTGCACAATGGGCTATTGGCGACGGTCTGGGAAACATCCCTGAGGATGATCCGAAGACATGCCATCACAATTTTGATCCTCTGCGGAGGGGATGGCTCCCCCGCTTCGGTAGCCCGACGACCCCTTTCTGATGCAAGGCCAGTTCCCTGACCTCTTACACCCTAAGGGGGGCCTCCCTGGCCGAGCGGTATCGCCGGTCCAAACGCTCTGTTAAGCGTGGAGGTAGCGGGTTCGAATCCCGCCGTAACCCTGGATGTATTCTTTGTGATGTCTTTCTCTGAATTGTTCTATCTGTATTTTCTACTTGACAATGACTTATAAGCCTATATATTGAGCACACAAGTCAGCAAATGTATGTAATTTCAATAAAATTACACCCTAAGGTCAGCTTTTTCTGTTATTCAAGAATGACTCAAGTGTGTATCCATATAATCTATAACTATTTCAGTAGTTATTTATGAAATCAATTAGTTAATTATAGAATGAAGCCGTTTTTATACTTTGAAATAATTTGATGATTTTTATTAATTTATATTTTATTGTGAGAGTATTAAAATGTCATGAAGTGAAATTAAAAATAAATCTCTTATTATTAAAAATTATAAGAATTTATAATTTTTTAAACTCAGAATAACCCATTACATATAATTTTTTCGGGCTAAAATTTCTTCATTAAGTCACAATTCATGAATTCATCAATTGATTTATTTACACTGATATATTTCTAATGTGTTATTTAAGTATTTTGTTTGTGGGACACAATCAAAATGGCTGTGACTTTTAGTTTTAATACTACAATCATAACTAAGTTTATATAAATGTAATTTTTCACAAGAAATATGATGAGAAATATCTCCATTGTTTTTCGCAAAAATAAAAAATTTTCAAAAACTTCTAAAAACGGAACACATGGCAAAAAAATCCTGGATTGAGCCCTAGCTGGGTTATAAAAGTTCTTTGTAAACCACAAATTGACTTTTTTAATAAATTTCTGTACCATCATTCCTAGCTGAATGCATATAAAAATAGTGTATGACAAATTTTCAAATATTTTTTAACACTAGAAAGGTTACCTTGTTCACCAAACTTTAAACTGTAGATTTTTTTTTTTGTTCATCTTACATACATGAGCCGTAATTCCAAGGAACAGGAAGAAAAAAAAATTTTAGTACCCAAAGCAAGTTGCAGTCCATAACAGAAAAGTTTGGATCATGTTTGTAGTTCTTAAAACAAAGCATGGTTATGTGCTACGGGTCATAAAGTGTGCATTTTCATATGAATATGTTTTCTGAATGATTAAAATCAGAGATGCCAACTTGCTCCGGACAGCAAATATATATTTTAAAGTGGTAGTTTATCAATTGTGATTCTTAGTTTAGTAAATTCAATTCAGTTGAGTTCTATCCACTACTATTTCTAAATAATTCGTAGGCTTATGTGATTCACCACTTTTTAGTACTTATGTCATGCTATACCTTTTAAGAAGCAAGCAAAAATATTCAAATCGTTGCAAAATTTACTTTTTAGTTATATGTACCGTTTTTTTTTTAAAAATTATTTTGGCTTGTCCAGAGTAGTTGACATCTCTGTTAAAATAATTGATGTATTTATCGAAATTATTTCTTGTCGTTCTGTATTCAGTAGACTAAAGAATATAAATCGTGAACCCTGGATATTTAATGTACCCATGATTTTAAAATTGGGGTAAATACCCAAAACTAGTAAGTACCTGAATATTTCTAAATTAGATTCAAAATTCAACCGTAATGTTTCACTGTGAAAACTCGTCAGTTTTGCATTGATAATTCGTCATTTAGTGAGAAAAACTTATTAAATTGAACAAGTTAACTAATGGCCGGGATCGACTGGTTGGCAAGGGGCTGGGCTCACAATTGTGAGAACGTGCGTTGGAATTCAACTGGCCGAAAACTCCTCGTGTAGTGACTGGTTCACGTTAAATCTGTCGGCTCACAAAGTCCCCCATGTTCCCATAAACAAAATACCTCTGGGGGTACTGAATTGGAGATAAATCGTTCTCTAGATCAATTCAAAATTACGATCATTGGAATGGGTTCGCTCTATAAACGGCTTTGACGCATGGGTGGGACAGGAGTCGAATTCTCGGCCATAGATGGCGCCATTGGAAAACAAGGACAATCACACCCTCTGTGCCTTAATGGCAGACAACAACAATAAATTAATATTTAAATTTTTTTTTTCCTATCTTATATGAGAAAGAATAAATTTTCCTTAGTTTTATATCTCTTGCCTGCAATGTTATATTTGCCATTACGTTTTGTAATTTAAAAATGTTTCAGAAAAATATTTTTGAAATGCAAACAGTTATTCATTTTTAAGTAAATTCAGTTTAGAAAGTTAACCAGGTAAATAAAGGCAGCCTGTGCAACTAATACTGATTCGATTGTCATCACCAGGATACACCACAGGCTGTAGTGAATATGCTTTACAATTACATTAGTTTTGTTTTCAGGTTCTTTGGTTTTACAAATTTTATCATTTTTATTATATCGCATTCACATCTCTTAATTTAGCTTTATATTGACACTTATCTTGATTCATTTGAAAAAACCATTGAAACAACGCAAGGAACTAATGTTAAAAATAGAATTTTTTTTTTTTTTTTCAAATGGCAGGCACTGAACTTTATTCTTCGCCTTAGAAAATACCGGAATTGTTACTCATTTAACGTTACACATTTTACGCCTGTGAACCAAAGTCACGGAGGCGAGCAACTGTTGTAAAGAAGGACAAGATAGAAAGGACAAAAACTTTTTCTGAGCAAAGAAAGTTTTAAACTCCTGATCCAAATTCATAGTTTCCAGAGATTTACGTGAAATTAGATAAGATGTATTTTCAAGAAAAAAATAATTTTATTTTTAAGCTAATGTTTTGAATATTAAACATTAAATTGCTCTGCAGTAAAAGACAACGTAAAACTATTAGACTCATAATTTATGTATAATTTAATTGAGTAGCAAAAATCTTAATACAACTCATTTTTATTAACAGTAACGGCAGTCAATTTAATTTTTAATTGAGTAGCAAAAATCTTAATACAACTCATTTGTATTAACAATGACTGAAGTTTTACAGTCAATTTTTGATTTAGTAATTCAATATAGTATTCTAATATATATTTTTAAAGCCACTGTCATCTGTGCTGAGATATAGATAAATAGTCTTGAAGCCTCATTCGAGACTGTAAATCTTGGGCAACTTCAGAAATTCCTGCATTGATCTGGCGAATCTGTGGTTCAAACATATTCACTTCCTTATGTATTAAACCTAGAAAAGAAAAAAAAACTGTATATGTAACTATATAACTGTATATAGTTTTCAATAATTCAATTCTTCAAGTTAAACGCAGTTAGATAATTTAATTTGCTTTTTGAAAATCCATTTAATTCAGAAATGGTTTTTAAATTAACAAAATGTTAACATCAGAAAAAGAGATAACTTATTATTTCTTACAACATTTCGGGGTTATTTATTAGCATAGCACTAGTTTTCTGACTAGGAGGTTTTTTGTATATTTTAAATTAAGAAAGTTATGTTTCCTAGGGTGCATAAGTAGAGGGATGTAAATTTTTATTTGTGGAAAAACAATACACTTTAGACTTTGATTATTCACTATTTAAATTTTTTTTTAATTTATGTCTAATTATACTCTCATATCAAAAATTATATTTACATCAAGTTGCTCACGTTAAAAATGGTAAGTTTACAATTTGGTATTTTTCCAAATTTTAGGTAATTTATTTAATATTATCACACTTGTTTTCACTAATACAGCCGGCCAAAGACTCCCTGCGTAGTACATGGAAACTGGTGCACGTTAAATTTGTTGGGTCACAAAGTCCTCCCTTTGCCCATAACAAACTAGTGGTACTGAATTGAAGATTCGATCTCTGTTTCACATTATAAATCTTCTGATTACGATCTGTGGATGAATGAATGGGTCCGTCCTATAAACGGGTGTGGTAGAAGTCGAATTCTTGGGCATAGATGGCACCACTTGAAAACAAGAAAAATCGCACCCCTGACTTACTAGCTGATGACAACAAAAACAACAACTTGCTTTCACTGCAGCAATGCTGGATAAAAGCTACTCTTTTATTATGTCATTTTCTGAACTCCAATAGATTATAAGAAACAAAACTTATAACAATTTTCAACTAATTTATAACAATTAACATCAAATTTTCATGACTTCAGAATACTATTAATTAAAAAAAAATAGGGGAAAAGTTTAAAATTGTTAAGACTTGCCATGCATGGCCGTTCTATGATTATTTCATACCTAAAAATTATAAATCTGAAAAATAACTAGTCTTATAATTGTCAGTAACAGTAATTGGTCATTGAGATTATGTTAAATGATTCTAACACTATACAACAATTTGTTAAAAAAAAAAAAAAAACGTTTTGGTAAAACTTTTCCTCATTCAATTACATTTTTTTGCTCACACTCATAAAATTTGACTTTACAAATAAAAAAAAACCTAAAGTTTCTGATGAAAATTGCAAGGTATGGAAAAAATATGTCAAAATTTGAATTGAAATTTCCCTGGTGCACCATATGAAACCCTATATTTTTTTTTGAAATTATGGCAAAAAATTAAATCTTGTTATAAAATTCAACCATGGATGGAACCTGTCTTCACTCTGCTTGTCAGTATTTTCCTGTACCGGTTGTTGTCATCATTCTTATATCAAAATTTACTTTTGGTTCAATTAATATGTTCACTACTATACTTTCTCTGAACAAGAAAAAAAAATGGGAAAATTATCAAAAGATTTTTACATAATATTATATTAAGAAAACGTTTATGAAATAAAACCTTGAATTACTCTATAAAATATTTTATAAAAGTAAACAAAATTATACGTAGCTGATCAGTTAAAATAGTCAAAATTATTCAGAAACACAACTGGTAATGAAAAACAAATTTCATACATAACTTTATTTTCGAAATCACATAGCATGAATATTTTATAGATAAACATTTCATATGAAAATATAAGCTACTTAATACAGATAAGCGATTATTTGGCCATCGTCTAAGAAAATACAACAACGTATTCTAAGGCATAATTAGTAAAGTTTCTCTACAATGAAACCAAACTTACACACTCATTGCTTGAGCCATTATAAACACCCATAATATGAATTTTTCAGAATACTTGTCAAAATAAAGCAAAAGTATGCACATCAGGGTATCTCAAATCATTGTTCAAGAAAGGATAAAAACATAATATATTCAAAATTTAACAAATCACTATAATATGTGAAGAATGGTTAAAATGAAATGTTCTTATCTTTCACCTTTCTATTTTTTACTATAACTAAGCAAATCTTGACATTTTCAATCCCGACTTTTTTATTGGTCTAGTTTCGATAAGCTTTTTTTCTTAAATCATTGTATAATAATTTACCCATTGCTCCTAATATGCATATTTTACAACTACATTTTTGACAAGAATTAAAAAAAAAAAAAAAACATCCACTAAGGTCAGGGATTACAGAATACCATTTTTTTAAAAAATATTCAATAATTTAAACGAAATTATAATGAGCACTATCCAAAATTCTTTGGAGATAATAAATAAGATCATATAAAACAAAAAGATTATATTGAATTTTTGCAGTACAACTCACAAAATATTGAATTATTTTTGCAGTACTGAACTGTGTGATATTTAATCGAAGTACGTATAGCCAAAAGGCTAAAATAAAATTTAATTTTCATTAACTAAATTTAAAAAATATAATAATGTAGAAGGAAATATTAATATATAATTATATGCCTGCATAGTATTTAAATAGTTTGCATAATCAATTTTTAATGCAGTTCAGTAAACACTAAAATAGTTTTGCCACTATAAGTCAAAATGTATAGCATATAACTTAAGTACACACAACCAAGTAGTGAAATATCAAATTAAAATTTCATAAACTAAAAATTTAAAAAAAAAATATTTATTAATAAAATGAGCGATGCCTAAAAATATTTTATAAAACATTACAAAATTTTATAAAATATTGAAGGATAAGTTCCTAGTAAATGAAAACAAAAAATCATACCTCATCATATTCAATATTTTGTGTAGCTCATAAAAAAGTAAAACATTTTACAGTTATCAACAAAACTAAAAGAATACATTACAGAAAGCTAAAAATCAAGTTAAAATTTCATTAAATATGTGAATAAGGAAAAACCCTTTCTACAATTTAAAAAGCAATATAATAAACAAGGTTTATTAAGATAAAACCAGTACATAATTTCATGAAACTTGTGCAGCTTTACAGCAAACAACAAAAATCTGGGGTTAGACTGCAAAGTACATACAATACAACCAAAAAGGTGATTTTATTAAATAACCAACACTAACTATAAAAAAAGCAAAAACACATTTAAATACAAAGAAAAAATGATTAGTGGAAAAATATTAATAAAAGCAAATATTTTAAATAATTAACACAGTCATATTATCAATGACGATAATAGTTTTATAAGCAAAGGTAAATTTCTCAAAAATCAACAATCGTACAATGTCTTAAATTAAGAAAGAATTTATTTTTCAAAATTTTATTCTCATTCAAGCAATCTTCATTAACTTTCACATAATTATTGCACACACTTAACTACAACCATGGCCTAAGCATTGAAACTTAACATACTATGCTTAATCATGGTTATTAATTCAAATATATCCATTCTATCAACCTTCCACATGGACAAGACATGATATTTTAATTGAAGATTACTCACAAATGTTCATAAATTTTTCTTCTTATAATTGCACAATTCAAACTTCATTTAAAAATTTTCAATTCTATTCAAACAGAATACACATTCTAACTTAACAGGCTAAGACTAGCTAACCATAATTATAAACCAAAAAAATCTAATTAACCAATTTAGTCATACATTTATTCATAGATGATTTTATATTTTTCTATAATATCTCATAAAATACCCTCTTTTCTGAGCATTTGATTAATATAGTATGCTTGTATTTCATACTAGTATCATAAATATTGTAATAATATATTGCAGGCATCCAAACACTTTGTATTTTTTTTATTTATATAATTATAATAAAAAATAATACTTTAGAAAATTTCAAACACTATTTTTTTTAAATTTTAAACCTAACAATGATTTATTTACGTTGAGCTTATCATTGCTATCATCAGGAACAAAATGTTTTTGCAAATATATATTTATGCGGTGAGTATGCATTGCGAGATTTATTTCGCTAAATTAACGCAAAAAGAACTAAGCATTAATTTTAGGATTACATAACCTGTACATTCTAATTTAAGAAATACTTCAAATATGAAAATTGAATTTCAATTAAAACAATCCTTGTTTGAGAACAAGCATTAATGAATTATATTCTTTTCTAAATTTGAATTATTGAGAAGTTGTTAGCAATAAGAAATCAGTTACAATGGAGAAAGAATGATGGATTTTACAATAACACAGTATTTAATAAATATGAACAGTGGAAAACAAAATATAAAAAAGTTTTAAATTTAAGCCTTTGATGAACGATGGAAAATTACAGGACACATGTAGGCAGCATTAACAATAATTTCTGAAGTAACCTTTAAACATTTTGCACAAGCTTCTGCAGAGTACTAAATCTAAATTTAAAAATGTGCGCTTGAGATTATTCTAAGTTGGCAACACAATCGGACGGATACTGCATAAATAATGACACCTGAATAATTACGATTCATACAGATACTCAAAACTGACTGAAAGATAGTATATTAACTAATGTAATAAAATATTTAATTTGATATAAGCAATATAGCTTATTACCTAATAATCTTAAATTAGAATTTGAAGTATCAGTTTGTGATTAAAAAAAATTTAAAAAAACAATGACAAGACAATTTATAAGTATCAGTAACTATAACTTTTCAGATATGAGATGTAGAAGAAGGGCAAAAATAACATATTAATTTCCCCTTAATAAAATATAACTTTAATGTTATTAGATCTTAGAAAACTCAAGAAAATTACAAATAAAACAGGAAATAATCTAACTAATAAGAAATAACTATTTAAACACTAAACAAATAATTTAAATAAGTTAAGGTTCAAAATATTTTTAATTGATCAGAATTGATTTAAATAATCCAAAAATTGCCTAAGTGACACAATTTTGTGTGAGAAAAAATTATGCCAATAGCCCAAATAAGAATTCTGATCGGTCTGCGAAGCAGCACTTAAATATTTTACAGGTTAATTGAGTAAATCAGGTTGAGAAATACTATTTTGGAACTCTAGCTAAGCTTAAAAAAACAAAATTTTTGCTCAAGAATCGCAAAATTCAAATAGATATATTTTTAAAAACACTTACTATAAATACTTTTTAATAAAAAAAAATCAAAACATGTAGGTAATGACAACTACACACACAATAAAAGAATATGTTATGTCTCAATTTGGAATTTCTGGCACATTAACAATAATAAGCAAGATAGCTGGTTCTCCATAGCAGTATGTACTAATTGATAAATGACTGTAGTAAATTATAAGCTCGAAACACTAACAGGAAAAAGGCAGATGTGATTAAGATTTAAAAGCGACTGCGAGAAAAACAATTTTTATTATATCAACTTGCATCAATAAGACTATTATGATTGAATACTTTAAAACTAATTAATAAAATAATAATCTATTGCAATAGCATGAAACAAACAGTTAGATATCAGAACTTCTGGAGTGACTATGCCTGGAAAAATTTCGAAATTTTTTTGCAGTAGACCATCTTCCAATACAAAGCAAAAGAAATTCGTCCTTTCTGCTGTCATGAACTAATAAATCATGACAGAATTTTACATTTACAGTTATAAAAGATGCTTTACATTTATTTTAAAACTTTTTTTTTAATTTCACAATTAAATGAACAGAATTTTAAAAAAAAATATTCAGACAAAGGTAAAGAAAATGACAAAGTCCTGAACATAAACATAAAATTGTACCGAAAATATGAGGTATCTTTAGTATGAGTCTCATTATCTGGAAACATTTCAATATCAATTAATATTATTAAAATTTTTATTAAAAGTATTTACAAAAAGGATCAAATTTAAGATGGTTACATAAGGCACAGGCTAAGCAATTTCTATTGTGAAACTTTGAGTTCTATACTTTCATCTATAGGAAGAATCATATTACTTATTTTGACAAAACAGTTTACATAAGGCACAGGCTAAGCTATTTCTAATGTGTAACTTTTGAGTTCTATACTTTTAACTATAAGAAGAATCATAACACTTATAACAAAACAGATTCATTCAGCAAGAGCTAGAATTAATGTCATGGTCATGTTACTGTAAATGAAATTTATGTCTTTATATTTGGAGTATGAAAAAAAGACAAAAGTAATTTATAATTTCCATACATTTTGGCACAAGAAATAAGCAAATCTAAATCAATTTAAGAAGCTCGATAAAATTTCAGACTTAATTATACATATTTTTAAATAAAAATTATATTTGCTACTGTTTCAGATAAGTTATATTTTGCAAGGAGGGGTTTAAATAACACAATAAACAGAAGTTAGTAGTATCAAACACAATTCTAATGCTAGATAAATTCTACTGAATATATTAGATGAAATAAATAGTACATTAATTAAGATTTATATATTAAATTAGTTTAATTAAAGAGACATAGCAAAAAGTAGCAGTAATTTTTTTTTCACTATTGTTAGCACAAGTTTAGCAAATTTTTTTTTCAGATAACAACAATCATATAAAAAAATATAATATCAACTTTTAATTAAATGAATTTGTTTTTTCACTTTTCTATCAATTAAAAAAAAAGGGATTTATGACGAAATAACTTTTGTTATCTAGCTTGTTTTAGAAAGCGAACAAAAGAGGAAAAGTTAGGAAGACTTAACAACGTTTAAATTCAAAAACACAATTTGCTTTTTTAAATTTCAGTTTAATAAATGTTTGATTTAACTATAATAATTAAATACTTTATAACTGTTAGTGTCTAACTATATTTTATGCATATTTTACTTTTAATTATAAGCTTATCATTCGGAACCCCACAATTAATTGTACTTCTAAAACTATATTCATAAATTATAAAATTCTACAGATTTATTATATAAATTCTACAGATTTATTATTTAAATTCAAAAACACAATTTGCTTTTTTAAATTTCAGTTTAATAAATGCTTGATTTAACTATAATAATTAAATACTTTATAACTTTTAGTGTCTAACTATATTTTCTACATATTTTACTTTTAATTATAAGTTTATCATTCGAAACCCCACAATTAATTGCACTTCTAAAATTATATTCATAAATTATAAAATTCTACAGATATATAATATAAATTCAATAAAAAATAATAAGAAACTTTGTAATTGTTTTTTGAATAATTAAAACAAAAGCAGTGGTTGTAGCAAAAATAAGTTTATATTTTCTTATTATAGTTTTACTTTTTTTTCTTAATTATTTAGCATTTTTCACTTTTAAACTATATTACAATAGTGTTTGATCGGTTTAGAACCCTAATGCTCATGTCAATCCTAAATCCAATACTTACAATGTGTATATACTATAGAGTATTAACAGTATTATATTATAACGTGTAATAAGTTGTAAAACACAAGAAATTTATTTCAAGATAAATGTATGCATATTTAAAATATTGAATAAAGTAAATTCTGTTTTGTTTAAGAAACATAGACTTTAGATATTTCATGAAACAAAATTTACAACAGTTTATATTTTTGGAAATTTTTCAACAATATCTGAAGCTCATCTAAAAAGGCATGCACACGCAAGTCTGTTGGTCTTTGAATATGAGAGGTGACAAACACGCACAGATTTATTTTCTTATTAACAAATGTACAAAATCTGACATTGATCAATGATGATTAAAAGAGTAACTATCCATCAACAATAAGAGATCATTGCTTCATTCAATTATGGGAGGTTTAAATGTCTGAACCTCTTCATAAACAAGTCCTACAAGAAAAAGATAAAAGAAAAGAAAAAACAAAATCTCAGTAAAGGATAATTCCACGTTCAAATTGTTCAATGGTATAGCTCATTAAAAACATGCATAAAATGTATTTGATTCATAAGATATAGACTAAAAAAATACAAACAATTAAAATATGTTTATAAGAAATATTTTAATTCATATGATAAAATATCATATGACTTTAGAAATGACTTAATAAAGGGTATTAAATATATGTAAACAATAATTATTTCAGATAAAAAGTGAAATTTTAATCAAAAACTTCCTCATATAAAAAAAAAATGCATTTTCAATAATATTCCATATTTTTTTACAAAAACAAATAAAAAGAAATTTAATAATATATTGTTCACGAAATAAAAAATGGTCCACACAGAATAACTTTTGATTCAAGGATCAGATCAAGTTCTAGGACTCAATCTTAAAGTTTCGAGGCGGTGACATCAAATATGGTAATTAATTTGTGCAGACGATATTTTAAGTTACAAAATCAGACTCAGAAATGTACTCTCTCCGAGTAAACATACCTTTTTTTTGACAGATTCGATTTTCTGATTCCCGAATATGGGTTCCAGTAGTTTGGCTAGGAGAATGTTCCAAAGTTTGAGCCCCTTTATGTTAATTTTACTTTTTGCGTATTTCACCATATTTTGAGAACTTTTTATGCAAATCCCAAATATTTGTACGTAATTATTAAATTCATTTATCCAAAGATAATTTTATGCAAAATATAACTTTTCATAAATATTTATTATTTTATTTAATAATAGCCTAAAAAAAATTTTTATTGTAAGGTATAAAAGTTTTTACATCTAAATAATTCAATTTTAAATTTCCAAAGTACAGAATTAGCAAAATCATTAGAGTAGTTTCCGAGAAATCAAATTTTGAAAAAGTGGTATTTTTAAAATTCAATTTCACAGAAACTATTGATCAATTTTTTTTGTATTTTGTCATTTAATATTGGATTATTTAAAAGTTTAAAAAAGTTGTATTTTGCATTGAATTATCTGCAGATAAATGAATTTCATAATAGTGAGCGAAACTTTCCATAGAAAGTTCTTGAGACATGGTAAAATATACAAAAAGTAAAAACATTAAGGAGTCTAAACTTTGGATCACTCTATTGGAACCAAACTATTGGAACCATATTTCGCAGATTGCCGCTATCCCCTAAATTCCAGGCATCAAAAGTACAAATCTGTCCAAAAAAAAGTATCTTTGTTCAGAGAATGTACGTCTTTTTTGTCTGATTTTGTAACTTTAAGCATTGTTCACATGAATTAATTTACACATTTGAGGCTACCCCCTGGAACCATTAAGATTGAGACTTCAACATGAAGATCCAATCATTAGATCAAGTTATTTAAAGTAGTTCATTATTGTGCCAAAAACATTCAATAAAATTTAGGAGCAAATTAGAATATTCAATACTGGAATCTGATTAACTTAAAGCAATTAAATTCAGTTATTAGCAAAAAAATATAAGAAAACAATATGTAGATTGAAAAAAAAGTGTCTCATTCGAATGAGTAGTTATGTGAAACCTACTTTTTCTTCTCATTTTTGATCTTATCATAGAAATCACAATCTTTTTTTCCTTTTTTTTTCATACATGTGTGTTATGTATTAAATTATTCCGCAAAGTATAACAGCACTTTGTATAGGCTATAACAATCCCAACATTGAATTTCCTATCACGAACATGTTTACATGGATCATTTACATCACACGAGGGGAAATTATCGAATTTAAGACTATATGATAATAATTAACAGCAAGTTTAAACTTTGAATAAGAAAATTGGTGAATCATATCACCAATAAAGCAAAAGATTAGAAGCAGAAAATTTCATGAAAAACCTCATGCCTCTCTCCCAAGATTGAAGATTTTTCAAGAAGAGGAAATGCATAATAGACTGTACTATATACATACATCTTTTTTCAAAAAATGAAGTAATTTTTTTAATTCAAAATACTAGCAAACTTCTACTTTTAATTAACTATATGTCTGCTAATGACATAAATAAAAAGAAAAGAAAGAAAGCTGATCATATTAAAATAGTAACCATCATAAGAAAAACCAGTACACTTAAGTTAAGAATATAGTAAACCCGAACTTAAATTTATTTTTACTCTTTTTCTCTACAGAACAGAGGAAGACAAACAAAAGTAGTGAAAAACTTTAAACTGATGCTCAGTAAAAACTCATTATAATTTAATCTTACAGGCCATAAAACTTGTCCATTTCTTTATTTTTTAGGACAAATAATAGAAACTGGAGATTATTAAAAGTTAATCTTTACATGTAGGTAATCTAGAAAATAGAATTCATTTTCACATTTCTTCACAGAACAACTATATTCATTAGTTCAAGGGAGCATAATTATTTATGGTGAGTTATTGGCAAACAAGGAAAGTTATTTTTTTTTTAATGGCTGACTAAAGTATTGTTTATTTAATAACGGTTTAGCATATTAACTGAGGTATAAACTTTGGTTCAACTTGCTTCACAATAGGGACTTTTTTCTTCATAATTATAAGTAATGCCAGCATGCTGCAAGGAATTTCCAAGACGAATAATAGTAATCCTATTGACAACTGCAATAGTAGTTTGTGTATGACAAAGGTTAAAGAATAATATTTCATATAATTGAGTTTTGTTTGAATCAGTTTGTATTTGGTATGTAACATAGTAAATACAATTGTAAGAATATTTTTTCCTTCTTAAACTTTCAGATAATTTTTGATTTTGATAGCTTTTTTAAGTATATTTTGCATTACATATCTAAATTTTATACAGTTTCAAATAAAAATTGGGGAAGAAATTTATTAGAGATTGTCCAGTTCATTTCATAATATTTAAGGTAATTGTACAAAATATTATTGAATAATTATTACTTTAATAATGGGTTGAAAAATAAATTATTAAACTTCTTTTGAAAGAGCATCTAAATAGAATTGAGCAGAACATTATGAACCAGTATTAATCCTTTAAAAAGCAAGTTAAGCAATGATTGGGGATTACAATAAAGCTAAATTAAATACAAAATTGGTGCTTTTCTGACTGATAGCATAAACTTCATAAAAAAATTTTAAGTAATAAGGTGATACAAGTATATAGGTAACGTGGAATTAGCCTTAGATGAGTAAGAAAAAGTAAAAGACTTCAAACTTTAATTTGAAAGAAAAACATCAAACACAATCAAAAGGAAATTTCAATAATAAAACAACAGATATAAAGAAATACTACACAAAGCACACAATTCTAAAGCTACTACACAGTATGGATAACAAACAAGCATTGCAAAAAAGTAAGCACTTTTCTCTTATTTTTTAATTTATAGATCATTCACTCTTTAAGATTGCATAAATGAATTTTCCCCTATGCTTCACCTGAATATAAGTTGTTTTTAAAAATTCTAGCATATTTTCTAATGCTTAATTTATTCAACAATCACTAGCAACAATCATAAGAACTAATAAGATTCTCAATGCCTAAATTACTAGCAGTATTAACTTTGAAAACACTTTCAACATTTTAAGCATGATTTTTTATTAATATTTAATTTATTCATTAGGTGAAAATATTGGTATGTAATTATCAGAAATCACCATCTACATTTAAAAATGTTTTGCATAATTTTTCTTAATTTCACAAACAGCTATCGGAAACTTTCTGGTTCCAAATTTCTAATTATTTGTAAGCAGTCGATTGACTTGATAAACACACAAGTTAAAAGTGTCAGAAACATTTACAAATAATTCATTTTACAAAGGCATTTATCAAAACATAAATGAAGTTTTCATGAAAACAACACCCAAATAAATAATTCTAAACTAAAGCTATTGTGAATTGATAAGTAAATTACTAATATTTAGAGAAGATTTTAAGATGAGAAGAAATCTTATTGACAAGTATGAGTTTCATGCTTTGATCAATATTAACAAAACTATGTTTTTAACATCCAGAATAATAAGTTAAATTAAACATAAGTTTATATTTGAGGCATTAATGTATTTAACTACTGTTCTATGATTTCATGCTTCTTAAACCATTGAAATTCCTTGCTTTTTACCCTAAATAATCTTCTTTATTAAATACGTTTTTTACACATTTATTATAAAAATTAGATTAAACTTAATAAAATTTTAACTTTAAAAAAATTCTACTTACAAATTTTAAAAATATGATATCAAAACAATTATTAAATTTTCGCCAAGATTTTTTAAATTTCTAAATGCTTTTCAATGTTAGGTGACAAAATGTAATGCTAGTATCAAAAATTTCATAAAACATCACAGAGTAAAATTCCTATTGTATTACATGTAACTAGAATTAGTATTATTCGTGTAATAGGCAATATTTCTTTAAAAAAAATATCTATGCTGAAGAAACATAACAAAAGAGTAAAGGTTAATTAATTCCCATTGAACACCAGTCAAAGAAAGAAAATAATTAAAGTAAAGAATATTTGAGTGAGAGGCCAATAACATTTTTGTTCTGACTCGCATTTTCAAGGGATCAAAACAGTCTTTTATAAACCTTTTCCTTTCAGTTCAGACAATGCTAGGAGTGACCAGTCTGACATCAACAATTCAGCGAAAAGATAAAGAACATTGTTCTGATGAATTTATCTAACTTTTTAGCTTCTGCTTACAATTTTAAGATTAACATTTAAGTTTAATTGTGAAATGCTCTATTCATGTATGATACATTTGTCAATTAAACAAATTATTTGAGATCTTAACCACTTTTCTGAAGTTTAATAAAGATATTTACTTTAAAAAGAGAGGAATTTTTTCCCAATTTAAATTTTATCACAATAAATCATGCTTTGCCTTATAAAATACATTTTTTTTTAAATCGAACCACTATTCTAATATTTATTAATTTTCATGATAAATATTTAATTTCATACTTGTTCCAAGGGTAATTTAAATTTAACATAATATACATTCAACATCAGTAACTTTGAATTAAATATGACAACTAATAAACACACATAACATTGGTAAAAAAAAAATTTTTAAGTTCACTAATATGTTAATATAAGATCTAATCAATTGAAAAAATAATTAAAAAATTTATTTTTCGTAAAAAATAAATAAAAAAAATACTTACTCCTCCACTCTGCAACTTCAAAATCTTTGTCTTCAAAAGATTCATCATAAGGCTCTGCAATCGGCTCATCTGATGGATCAGCATATTGCGTTAGATAGGGATGGGCTAAAGCTTCTGTGGCTGTTGGTCTTTTATCCGCATCTAGTTCCAACATTCTTTCCAAAAGATTAATTGCTGAAAGTACAATTAATTATTGTATTTTGCATAAACAAATGGTTTTATGATTAACCATAAGTTTTAGAGTTCAATAAATATTAAAAGTGTACTGAGAACATAGATTGATCAAAATGAAACTTTATTAAGTTCAAATAGACTAAATAACCTTAATCACTTAGTAAGTTGACCACATTGGGATATTATTAGGCATAATTATGTGAGCAAAATAATTTTTTGTATACGCTTTAAACAATTCATCCTTTTCTATTATTGAAGTTCTTAGGTAGTAAGAGATTCAGTAAGAGATTTTTTTTCTCAATTAATAAGTCTATTTATAACACAAAATAAATTTCACAGTGTTGCTGTTGTTGTAATATAAAATATTCCACTAACACATTTTCTTATGCACAAATATTTTGGGAAATATACTATTTATAGTTCATGACACAGCAAAATATGAATAATTAATTGTTCCTCAAAGTAAAGAAATTTAACAGTATAAAATTTATGGAACAAACAATAATTCTATCGGGTAATGAATCGTATTCTCAAAGCTAAATTGGTTATTCCTTAACATAGACAAATGTAATTTAACAATTAACCATTACCAATACAACAGAGGCTCAATATTTTGATTTTTAGCTGTTCGAGTTTCCCATAAATCCAAGTTAGTGGTCTTGCTCCTAAAAAATTACCAATGCACACACAATGCATTTAAGGATTACTAACACTGGTTTAACAATGATTACTATAACTGAACGTTGAAAAACGAAATTATAGTTAGTGTTCACGTAATTAATGAAGACAATTTGCCTCTGTTTAGCCCGTTAAAAAAAAATTCAAGGTTGCAAAAACACTGACGTGACTGTGGTAGGCAAGTGGCTATATAGTGATAAACAACTAGCATTTACAAATGTGGCTACTGTAGTAAGGATGCAAGAAGGCAGTAAAAGGGAGAATTCAGCAGATTCAACACTACGAATGAGTCATACCAAGGGACTCGCAGCCAAGGCAAATCCAGCAGACAATATGCTAATCTGACAATGGCACAATATTGATGCATGAAGCAGTGTGTTGAAACAAACAATTATTTTAATGTACAATGATAGATTTGATGCAGTAATATAATGAATGAATATAACTTAGAGTAATACAGTTAATGTACCCTAATCGTCTAATGTAAGTAAATTTTCTTAAAATATATTTTTATAAAATATATTTTTATAAAATATATTTTCTTAAAATATATATTAATATATTTTTCAATTAAATACTGAAATTTAAAAATTGCTTTGTTTCCATTTATTTAAATATTTATTATATTTCATGTTTTTGATAATTCAGATTTTCGAAAGTTCAATGCATGCTCGGTCCCGTTCAATTCTAATTATCGAGACACTATTGCATTTGGATTGAAATATAAAAGAAACATGTAAGAATAATGTAAGAGAAAACTTTTTTAAAAAATGACCCATCCACTTCTATTTGTTGACCACCTGTCAAAAGTAATGCATCCTAAGTGGTCAAGTTATACAGGATGCACTGTGCAAGACACACAAAGAAAATGCTTTCACACTAAATTTTAACTTGCTAATCCTTCAAAAACATAAATAAATACATATTATGAGAATAATGTTGAGATATGACCATGATTTTAACAACAGAACTTAATTATGAGGGCAAAATAATAATGCTGCTGGTTGACTATTATGGATTCTAAAAATCAAACTTACCATCAGGGTGAGCACCAGCAAAAACATCCTTGAAATTTCTTTTTTTCATGACAGGCAATGAGCGTATATAATTTCTTGCCTAAAAGTAAAAAACTCTCATAAATTTTAATCATGAATTAAAATAAATTTGTTTTTTTGATGTAAAAATATTTATTAAAAAACAATATGAAAAATCAATTCGAAACAAAATATATTTCTTTTTAATGCAAGCTAAGTATTTACAAATAATATTGGGGATAAGATATTGTCAGGTGTAGATATTCAAATAATCAATACTAAATAACTACTTGGTGAAGAGAAATTATTAATTACCATTAAATACCATAAATTATATTAATTGCCATTAAATTAATTACCATCTATGAAATAATACAATTGTTATGCTTAAAAAATTTAGAAAATCATTAAAACAAAGTTTACCCAAAAAAGTTTTTATAAAGCTCTAAAAAGCTATTATAATTTTATTTTATTTTATTTTTTTTTTTTAAAAAAAAGTATTGGAACTGTTGCATTAAAAAAATCTACATTAGAGTAAAAAGAAATATTTAAATAATGTAAACTTTTTTGTTGTTATTGTAGCTTTTTTAACAAAATATTATGTTTTACCTGGCTATTATTCTACACCGAATAGATTATTTTCTTGTATGCATTACAAAAAATTAAATGCTTTACATACCCTGATATGTAACGAAACTAAAAAAAAAAAAAAAAACTACGTGGTTAAAAAAATACATACCTCTTCACTGTTTATTTTATTTAGGAACTCTTCATCTGGTTTACCACACAAAACCATAATGCGTGTTAACTGATCAATATCTATTGCAACGTTAAGATTATGACATAAAATAAGGAAGCAACTAATAAGACATCAAAACATTCCTACAATAAAAGCATTTTACCAGACTCATACAAATTTTTAATCATGCAATATTCATTCATGCTCCATAACATTTTGCCATCAACAATAATGAGTTCAAACAACACAGATCAAACAAACTAACAGTTTAGTTTTTAAAAAAATTGTTGCGAGTTTAAGTGCAATGAATTATTTTTTATTCAACATTTTATATAACTCCACAAAAAAAAAAAATTATTAAAGTGCTAAAAATTGTGCCTAATATTTTATTTCCATAAAAAAAAATTAACAGTATTTTAAAATTCTTTTTTAAATGAGAAAAATAACTCTTATTATCTTTCAGGTTTTAATAAAACCCTTAAGCACAGACTGAAAGAAGGTAACAAAATTTATAAATCTAAAGATCAAAAGTGTACTGTTGTTCTCTACCAAAATGTTTTAAATGAATGTTTGGAAATTCATAACAAAAATTGTTAGGAACCATGCAAAGCCTTAGTATCAAAACAAACTTTCCATGCAAAATTGACTACTTTATTATTATTCATGGTAAAACAAAAAAAAATCTGTTGCCTTTAAAAAAAAGAATTTTTTTTTCAGATCACATAAAATCTTTAAAAAAAATTATTCACACTAAATTTTTTTTCCACAACATGTAGCATTATTAATTAACAAAAAAAGGTTTACTTTGCATTTTTTTTGGTCAAAAGTTTAACTTAATAGACATAAAAATTTACCAAAACTTAGACCTTATTTAAAACAAATGGATGCAGAGAAAGAAATATAAAGAGAAATTTTAACTATTTAATACACACACAAAGTAATTATCACTGATATGTAAAGTTAAATAAAAAATTGCAAGACAAATGTGTAAATTCAAAATACACACAATTTACAAAGGAAAATAATTAATCATGAATCACAATAGAGTGATTAATTATGAATGTCTAAATTTCATAATTAATCACTTGTTGATGATAATTTGCCTGAAATTAATTACTGTTAACCACCTTAGATTTTTTGAATTATGACTTAAGCAAATTACTACGAAAATAGAAGGAAATAAGAATGCCAGAAGAGAAAGGAAAATATTTAATAAAAAGAAATTAGTTTTCAGCAGTACATTTTTACCATAAATAATCATAAAATTTCTTTTTTTTTATATTTTTTTTTACAGAAGACGGGGACAGTTCACTTAGATTAACAGTACGTGCAAGCAAATTAGGAGTTGTGAAATACCTCTTCACTCATTATTTTCAAAAGAAGATAGTCATCAGGAGTCCCAACAATGGACATTATATGAATCAACTGATCAATGTCTGACACAATTAAGGAAAGTCTTTGTCAAGCTCATTTCACACAAGAGAAATCAAAGGGAATTAATAGAAGGGAAAAATTGTTTAATTAAAAGGTGAAGATTGCAAAACGAAAAAAATAATACGATTGATAAATACATATTTAACTTTTAAAGGATACGATCAGTTCCAGGAAAAAGAGTTTTTGATGTTAAAAGTTCCGCCATAATACAACCAACAGACCAGATATCAACTAAAAAAAATTTATTCTATTTTAAAACAAACTGGGAAATATCACAAAATTATAATTAATATTTGAATGGGTGGAAAAAAAATAAGCTGATAAAAATGAAGCTCGGTTAGATGAAGGTAGAAAATATAGTTAATATTTGTACATTGCAAGAAAATATGAATAGTTTAACAATTCCAAAAAACATTGTGAATCAATTTCAAGAACTGTATCAATATTTTAAAAGTATAAGTAAGTAAAGTTTTTAATTATGAGCAATTTAAATTTAGCCTTAATTGAAACATTTCTACACACATTTTTTTAATAAAAAATAATAAAAAATGAAAAAAAAAAAAACATGCTGACAAACAAACATTAAAGAATAACAAGTAAGAAAACTAAATTAAAGAATAACAAGTAAGAAAACAATTATAATTGCAAACAGAAGCGATTTTATACAAAGATTAAAACATCAAAAACATTAGAAAATATTTTCTTTTGTAATAAATTTAAAACATCAAAAACATTAGAAAATATTTTCTCTTGTAATAAATTTAAAACATCTAAAAAAAAGTAGAATTAACAAAATTATGTTGCAGAGATTAATTAATTGCAGATATTATGTTGCAGTAAAGAAAATGAAATAATTTGATTGAATGGAGAATTTGGCAACAAGTGTTAATTGGTAGGATCCGAAAGAATCAGGTTCAGGGCTATGTGCTGCTGTGATTAAATAGTATAAAAATATACCTGTTTGATTATAATGCATCCAGTTCAACATTATTTCTGGTGCTCTGTACCACCTAGTAGCAACATAGCCAGTCATCTCAACTTCTGCATGACGGGCAAGTCCAAAATCCAATATCTAAATAATTATACAAACAGCATTTAAAAATAAATCAATTTAATAAATACATTAATACTGCTATGTGATTAAAATAAAATAAACGTACCTTTAACTCACAATCTTCATTCACAGCAATATTGCTTGGTTTTAAATCCTAAAAAAATTAAGACACAAATAAATATATAGTCAGACACTTTGTTAAAACATTACTACAAATAAATATATAAGTGATTAAATATTTACTATGAAAAAAAACTAAAGGTAAAGAAAATATATCAGAAATTTAACCAATGGAAGGAAAGAAATATTTATATATGTAAACTAAACTAAGCGGAAGACAGCCCATAGAGGGCCAAGGCCTACTGCGCCCATCTCAGTTTTCTTGACCTTTGGGATCTGGGGTGCAGGAGCAGAAGTTTCTGTTAGGTGGTCAGTCGAACGTGAAACCCCCAGTGTTTAGTTCCCAAGCATGCTTGGTACTCATTTATCGACCCACTGAAGGGATGAAAGGCTGAATTTATATATGTATGTACATATTATTTGTGATTGACCATTACCCTTGAACCACTATCTACTTCCTGATTCAACGGCGACGCCTGAGAGCTTGGAAGTCCCGAAATCTATTTTTCATTGACTAACTATTTCTTTAAAACTAATGTTATTCAGTTTTTATCCTGTAATGCTATGTGTAGGCAGCTCCCTGCTATTGTTGTTGCTATTATACTTTTTTTTACTTTATTAAATTTGTTAAGTTTAATTGTTAAGTTAATTATTCTCTTTTTCCCTCCTTTGCTCGACAAACCACTATATATATAGAGATATATAATTTATTTAAATTAATATTTTTTTAAAAAAGTCAGCTTATTTAAAATATTACAAATCTGTGTTAAAATAAATCAAAATTATCAGGAAAAAATGATAAAGTATGAAAGTAAAAATATTTTTCTTCTGGTAATGTAAGTAAAAATATGTTTATAAATTTTTTTTTTGTTGACAGCACAGAGATGGGTTCCTGGGAATAAACTGGAATCACATCGTAATAATATATGTGAAATTGTATTTTAAAAAAAATTGCAATTCATAATCTTTAAACAAATTTTCTTTCAAAAAAAAAGAGAAAAAAATACGTGAAAAAATATACTTACTCTGTGAATTATGCCTGCTGAATGGATATACTAAAAAAAAAACAAAGTGATGTTTTAGTTTTATTTATACATTCTTAGTTTAAACATTGAATGGGATAAAATAAAACATTTCATTAACTCAAACACAAAAATAAAAATTGAAACTAATAAAATGCGTACAACATACTTTTAAACCTCTCAATATTTGATAAACAAGAAACTGGACATGATCATTGCTTAACCTCTGGGTTTTAATAATGTTATTGAGATCAGCTCCCATCAAATGAGTAACTAAGTAACTAGAGAGAAAAAAATTAACAGTTTCATTTCAATTATAAAAAATATATAATTATTTTATTGAATGTCAACAATAGTGCTATCAATAATAAAGAAATATCATGCAATGGAATTATTAGCAAAGCAACAAAAAAAATAATTCATAAAATTGGACAAATAAATTTTAGGTCGTAAATTTTAAAACATGAAAATATCAAATTGTCAAATATTATTTAAACTTAATTTAACAATTAGACAAATTTAGTAGATGCAATTAGAAAAACAAATTCAAATCATAACAAACCTAAATTAATTTTCATTTAGTAACTGTTCACAAGTAATGTATCAGTCATTTCCAGCTTTAAAATAAAACTTTTATAGGAAAAAAAGTTAAATCTAAGGCAAAACATAATTTTTAAATTGAAATTCAATAAAAAATTGACATGGTTAAAAAAATTTCCAGGATTTTTGAATGTCAGATTGTAACATATTATTGTAATAACAGTAAGAGTGTTTAACTAAGATTTCTAACTACTGTTACAAATAAAAATATGACTAATTTAGTTAATAAGACAAACTAATAAAACTTCAACAGTAATACTTGATAAAGTTTATATTTGAAGATGTAAAAAGAAACTTTTAATTCTTGTAATCAGGTTACTTTAAGTATTATCTAGTAAGAATATTTGAACAACTTGTTTTACTCTTAAGTTCATGGCATTTTTCAGGTAATTTACATTCATTCAAAATATATAGGTAAAACATATCAGAAGAAAAATTAATACCCTATGCATGCATAGTTTCTCATAAATTAAGAAAAGTCCTTTGCCTGTTTATAATTGACAATCTTTACCATTGGTGGTATGAGACAAATACCTTTGTTTCTAAGTTGACACTATCTCCTTTGATTCTTCTATATTAAAGTAAATTGAAAAAAAAAAATTTTTCTTTTTTGAATTTCGGAATGCTTTAGTGTGGAAAAGTTGCTAACTGCATTGCAAATAAAAACAGCATAATTTTTTTTAAAAAAAAATCCGTAACAATATCTTTTATTTGTGCAGCGAACCATTAAACAAGTATAAAAAACTAAAGCATGATTATTTCAAAAGTTTTAACCATCGTAAAATTTTCTTTTGAAAAAGGTGTGATTTTTTTTTAGAGTGTTCATTAAATTTAACTATGGTGTGCGAACAAAAGGTATTAATTGATTTTAAAAATTTTATGCCAATTATATAGGTAACTTTTTTGTGCTAACACATTCCAAAATTCGACTTTTTTTTTTGACCCACTCGATTCTATATATATATGCTTATAATTGTGTTTTCCTTAGTTTTTAAGACCTTTGCCAGTAAGTTTTATTAAAATCTTATCCCCAAATTTTTTCTTCTAAAAATTGCCCCATACCTTCTGGCTTATCCTTCTAAAAATTCAGAAATAAGGACTCTTTTAATATTAGGTAGATTAATTCGATATCAGACCATACATTTTTTTGTTATCAGGTATATTATCAGTTATAAGGATATGGTGAAAAATATTTAGCCTTAGTTTAAGTTTTTACAGGTAGTAAATTAATAGAAAAGATAGAATTTTTCATATTTATATTATCAAGTATTTTTAAGCATACAAATTGCATTTTTGAGCAAAATGTTATTTAATTTTTTATTTAATAAATACTATAAAAATCACCTTTTAATACAATTTTGTTTAATATAATGATTTTTATGATGGCACAGATTTTCCTCCTTATACTACTTTCAAAGGAGAAATTGGTTTGCTGCATAAAAATGCAACTATCTTATAAAGTTAGAATTTCAGGATCAGAAAGGTTTTTAAAAAGAGAAATATAAGTTTTAAAAGATATATGCTGAAATTTCAGATAGTTTTTATTTTGGTATTCAGTTAGTTAGTATTTAGTAGTTAGTAGTTAGTATTCAGTAGTTAGTATTTCGATAATATGCAGTAAATATACAAAGAAAGAAACATCTAAAATTATACATACACATCTTGAAAATCATCTAATGTTGTGGATGGAGTAAAAACATCTAATAAACCTATAACCTATTAAAAAAAATGAAATAAATTTTCTACAAAAAAAATCTATTCATTCAACATGATTATAATTTAAACAGCAGTTGGGAATTTTTATTCTATATTTTAAAAAGTTATCTTAATTTGTACCTCAACAGATTAAAATTATTTTCTCTCCATATTTCAGGGATGAGATTAGCCAAAAGGTAAAAAAGCTGAATTTCCACGATAGTAAATTTTACGCAAGCGCAACCCTTTAATAATAAATTCCAGACAGTTTAAGGTAATTTATGTGTTGACATACAATTGTGTACTAATCTATTATTATATAAATGATTACATTGATACTTACCATTTAGTGAAAATAAAAATTACCAATTGAAAAAATAAAGCTGGAAATTATATTTTTCCTCAGTTCACATAAGAGACAATTAATTATTACTTGAAAAACTACCTGGTTTAGCAAATTAAAACTACTGAGAATATACATAAATATTTCATTTCTTTTAATAAATAAATACTGTTATGTGATTTATAGCAAATATATCAGCAATATTACTTTTTAAATTATATTGGAAAAAAAAAACTTTAACAATGGACCGAATAATTATGTTCATATTATAGTCTAATTTAACTAGAGCCCTCTGAAACATAGCAATAACAGTGAAGTAGAAATATATATTAACTCCTTAACATACAAAAATTGCTATTTTAGTTTGAAAAATTACATGACAATCAGCAGCTGTTTACATAATTGTTTTTTATTTGATAAGAATTTTGCATTTTATAGCATTAACAACAATTATAAATAAAATTTTGATGATGAGTTAATTAACTCTTTTTCCAAAAATATAAAAAAAATTTAATTAAATCTTTTTATAAGTGATTGCTTTTGTTTGCTATATCTTTTATGTTTGCTATATTTAGTCGTTAGTCCATCTTCAAACATCTTGTGACAAATCCTATTTTTTCTTATTTGCAAACACAGAATGTAAGTTTTGAATATATTCCCTTCCAGTTTCTCTGATGTTGTAACACTTACATATACTAATAATCGTCGTTAGAAAAACAGTCACCTTTATAGTAACTAATTTTAAAAATAAATTTACTTCTTACAAGAATCGCGATAGTTGATCTTAAATTTGCGTGAATATGAATAACAATTATGCATTTTGAAATCACATGAATGTGAAACTAGATATACAATTTTGAAAATGAGAAAATACAAACTGGGATATAGAATTTTTAAAACGTGTAAATACAAATCATGATAATCACAAAGCTATGTAGTTTAAATTTTCTGTTTCTCTTTGAAAATCGGTGAATTTTGTGAAAAAACGGAATACTTATAAAAAAAAAAGTGAAATTTTTAGAAAATCTGAATTTTTGATAAAAAAAAAAGCTGAAATTCAAGAGATAAAAGTGAAAAAGAGGAAATCAGCTAAAAAGCGGATCATCCCTGATATTTGTGACAACATGATACCAATAATTGTTTAATACAAAGGGTTATAGAGTAAATGCTGCAATACTGAAAAGTGTATACAAAAATCTTTGAAAATAAATTATTAATTTATGGTGCATTAGATAAAGACACCAGTTGCAACTTTTAAGAGCAACACTATTTTATTAAAATCTATGTATAGAAATTATACCAATCCTTTAATGTGAAAGTTTTTTTTAATCCTTTAACTGTCAAGTTATTTCAATGATTTAGGTACATAAATTGCTAATTTTTTTATTGCATAAATCAAATGTTTAGAACAAAATAAAACATACTTAGTAGTTAAAAATAGATATTTTGAATTGCGCGCATAAAAATTTTAAGGCTTTGTAGCCACTGCATATTTGTTTGGGGCAGCTACCACTTAGTGTGGCTGCTTGCTTCAAGTGGAGAATTATTTTCTAAAAATTGAAAAAAAAATTTTACTTAGCATCTTTCTAATTACTTATCATCTTTTCAAAGAATTAGAAATCAATCTCTCCAGTTCTTCAATTGTAATTCTTGTAATTTAACTTTGCTTATAATTCAATAAGAGAAATTTTTATTGAATATTTATATCAATTTTATGAATAATAGATTATTTTATTGAATATTTATATTAATTTTATTGATACTTGCAGTAAATTAAGTTCTTTTTAAGAAAAAAATAATAGATTAATAAATTGAAAACATAGGCTTTGCTCTCATTATAAATTTAGAATACAACATATAAAGTAAAGCAATGGTTGAATAAAAACTTACATTTTCATGATTCATATGTTTTAATAGTCTTAGCTCTCTATATGTTCTTTTTGCATGAATCTTGGATTGAAATGGTCGGGCCAGCTTTTTAATTGCAACCTTAAAATTGCGTTGAGTATCTAAAGATGAACTAAAATAAAATAAAAAATTGTAATTAAAAATAAATGAAAAAGAGTTTTATGGATACATGAAATAAATTTAAAATTATAACGTATTATTAACATATTTACTGTCTGAAAAAGAAATTTATACAAAAGGTAAAATTTATAGGAAAAAAAATTATTTCATGCAAAATTGAATAAAGCTGAAAGATTTCATCCCACATAGACATTGGACCAAAACATCCTGCAACACAGCATAACAGTGTAATGGCCATTGACAAAAAAATAAATAAATAATAAATAGAATTAAATATTTATGGAGAACAAAAAGATTAATTATTGAAGACTAAAACAAAAATGATTCATGAATTAGAAAAGAAGATAGGAAAATGAAATAAGTTGGTTTTTTCAACTGTGTAATAGAACTCTTTAAAGAGATAGGACTAAATTTTTTTTAAAGAAATTGCAAGATCTTGGAATTTTATACATACCGTGAGCTCATTCTAAAAGTTTGCCTTTCTGTATAAAGAAATAAGTGAAAAATTTAAAGAAAGCAATTTTATCTATATAAATAAAAAACTATTGTAAATTAAAAATTCAAACAAAATTTATTTGTAGCATTCAAAAAAAGTTTTGCACTGTTTGTTTGTTTAAAGATTTTTCTAGCTAAGTTACAATTGCAGTGTAGCAAAGTAGAAAAGAAACTTAAGTTCATTTTTCTGGAAAAAAAATGTTTTTTTTGTTCCTTAAGTTAAAAAAAAAGGTGTTTTGATTAGATTTAATGCAAAAATCAGTTTCTGGCATTTACAGAGAGTGATAACAAAACACATTAAGAAAAAGATAACTGATTATAAAACAAATAAGATAAGCAACACTTCATCTCCATTCTAATTCAGAAGAATTTCTTACCACATTACCAAAGACTTTTTTCACACATTTAAAAATACTTATTATCAAAAGGAAATATTTATCTAACTAGATGAAGCAAATACTTCTAACTTGATTAACAACATGGCTAGCAAGTAATTAGAACTCCTAAACCAGAATGTCTCTTCAATGTAAATCCAGATTAAATTGAAGATACATAAACAACAATCAAACATGACTTACAATATATACACAAGAAATAGTGAAACATGTTACTCTCTTAATAAAATTATAAATAATGCTTTAGAGTAAGAAGTGAATAAAAGTGAGTGTTCACAGTAAGAAAATAAGAGCGAAGATAAAAAAAAAAAAAAAAAAACATTTGGAAGAAATATGGAATATTTTCATTTAAATATACTTGAAATATGCACTCTAACAAAAACATAGAGATACTTTTTTATGATGCTTCCATAACGATACGCCAACTACAATTGGAAGAGTGCCAACGCAGTTATATGCTACCAAAAAAAAATGCAGTTTATGAAAAAAAGGTTGCAAGTTTTACAGTTCAAGTTGGTCCCTTTCTCTGCCACTGTTTTAGAGTTTTTTTGTGTGACATGGCCTGGGTATCGCATAAATTTAGTTACTTTTACAGAGCAGATATTGATACCGGAAATCTTCCCACTTTTTTAGCACAGACATTATAAGATAAGAGATTATTGATTGCACTGTAATTTAAAGTTTCTTAAAAAATCAAGTATGAACCAGGGAATATTTCCGTATCCTGATCTAGGCCAATATAATTGCCAAGTCTTGATGACTTCTAGGCAGTGCCTGTAAAACACTAAAAAAAGGCAAATCACAAAAGTGAACAAACTCAAAAGGTAACTTGTAGCCACCCCTGAGCAAGCCTCTACGTGTTTTATTTTTGAAGTTTGTATATTTAAAATCCTTTTAACATCTAGGCGATTGTAGGTGACGTGACAGACAGCACAAAAGAAATATCGCCCATTCACCGAATAACTTTATTGCAAATTAGAAATAGGTCAGTTCAAATTCAGTAAACTGAGGAATATTTTATAAAATGTTATTCCTATTCTTTATTTAAATGGACAAAAACCCTATATAATAAAGAGTTTCGTCGAAAGAAAAAATCAATATTTGAAGGCAAGGGAGATGATGCTGTTGGTGCTCAAAGAATGATATTCCTTTGTTTTTAGTGTGTTCTTTGTTATAAAGTTTATTACAGCTTAATCTTTTATTCATCAATCTCAACACTTCACCAATCTCATGCATCTGCAGAATCAAACACTTTTGCCATAAAGCAAAACTTTTTTGTTCTCAAACTTACAGGTCAACACAGCATTTTCATTTAATTTCTTTCATTTTCTCTATTTGAAAGATTGAATTTAAAATCAGATTTGATGAGCTATAAGCAAAAATTATAGACCGTGTCCTTGATATTTATTTCTCACATACTTAACCTTATAGTTTATACTTGTCTGACACAAACAATATTCTGAATACTTGAATCGTAGTTTTATTACCTTATGTAACGATAGTTAAGATACATTTCTCATTAACATTTTTGTTATATTAAATGCAGTTATCTAATACCAAATAATTAGCATATAAAATCATATAAAACATGCATTTTCACAAAAGTAATTATAAAATTCTTTAAGATAAGGTAAGACACTAACCATACTTGACCGTAAGCTCCTGACCCCACAGGTGCAAGGTTTTGATACCTTTCAGGCACCTCCCATATAGTTTTGTTCAGTTCAACTTTAATAAATCCAGATTTCATCATCAAAAGAGTATAATAGACTTTGATATGAATTCGCACTTAAGGCATGAAACTTGTCAAGGTCTAATGAAGAAAAAGTGCGACTTTCAATTGGGGGCAAATTATTCAAATACAAACTAATAACATTTTACGATCAGCTCAACATAAATAATAATAAAACAAAAACTAACTTCTACTTTTTGGTTTCGAACCAATGCCAGATTAAGATTCGTAATGTTTGAAATTATCAATGTAAGTTACAAGCTGAAATATGTATAGCTGTGAAACTCTGAAATTACGCCTTATCAACATTTCAAAATTTAAAATTAATAATAATTCACCATAAAAGTTTAATTTCTTTCTGTTATTATTCTTTTTATTTGAAGTAATGTCATGTTCGGATGATGAAAACTTGTCATTAAGTGAATTGGGAAAAAAAGAATAGTACTGTACTTTTTTTACTATTTCTATTAATAAAAAAAATTTGAAGCCTTGATAGTTCAAAAATATATTTAGCTAGAATTTGCTAACCTAATATAAATCTCTCATTCCCATAAGAATATTGAAAGTTTTTTTCGCTTGAAATATCATTCTATCAACTTATATTGTTTTTGTCGCTTCAGATAGTTCCTCAATTTAGCGATTCTTGCATATATTGCGCTTATGTCTGTTTTTAAAAAATGTTGGATTATAAATTAGCACTTTTCTTGATTTTGGAAATCAAAAGTCCTTAGTACCTGGAGCTTTAGATCCTTTTTTTTTTTACTATTCAATTTTTTATGCTTCTATTCAAATTAATCTCGCAATGATCAGCGATGAACACCGGAGTGAAGTATCACTGGCTGTGGTCAATAAGCGAGTGGGTGACCACTTTGATCAGTCAGCGAGGGTACGCGATATCAGATGGGAGCCATTCTCTCTGCAGACTATCAAAATTACAATGGCATGTCTTTGAATTATCCTTAGAGAAGTTTCCCTGACTGTCGCCAATAGCCCATTGTGCAACGTAAATAAAGTATCTACCTATTCAAAATAATAAAAATATCTATACTTGAAAGATAAAGATGAGAAGTAAATACTTTATGATTAGTGAAGAAATGTGATTAATACAACTAAAAAGAATTATTCAAGTTAGACTGGTTTTTGCCTTCTTTTCTTCTACTGAACAAATCGTTTCTCCTCTACGATGCTTTACATATTTGATGCGCTATAACGCATTGGTAAATAGTGGAATCACTGAATTAGTATATGTGGGAAAATTAATATACTCATTTTAATTAATATAATCATCTTCAGGAAAAGAAGAAAAAAATTTCTAATTTTCTTAAATGCTTTATTGTTTATTAAATGCCTTAATGTTCTAAAATTGAATTTCTAAAAAAGAATTTTCATTATAATTTTTTATTATATTTAAGTCTGGAAAAGCAAAGATGCATTTAAACCTATTTCATCATAATTATTATAGATAAATTTCAATTTTTACGCTTGTGGAGTTTTAATATCAGTGTTATTTGAATGGATATGAGAGTTCTGAAACACAAGGCGAGTGGTTGATTTTTTAGTTCTCGGCAACTTTTAAGTTGTAAACATTCACTAAGCAGTGGATTTTTCAAAAAAATTAGGTTCATGGTTTCTATGCAACATCATAATTCTTTATTTTTTGAAAATTTAGTATTTTTAATGTTTTAATTAATTTTGTAAGAAGCAACAAACTGTAAGAGTTCATTAAATTCTTAGAAATACTAAAATACTATTCATATTTTTCAGAAACTTAGGGGCTATTCTCGTGCCTGATTATACAGTGTTCATTATACCGATTTATTGATTATTTACTTTTATTTCACACTGTGTAAAGAATGGGTATTCAGGAAAATATTACAAAGAATTGCATTAGTTTTGAGAAATGGCCAAAGCCTTTTTACGAAAAAAATATTTTACTCCTCAAGAATTATAATGTATGCTATTTAATGTGTTTATTTGTTTAGAATAAACTGTTCTTCAAATAGATTTTTTTTCTTTTTTTTTACTTATTGTAGTTGGGATCAGTTCTATACAACTGAATTGGAAAATTTTGATGACTTTGGTGAAGAAGGTGACATATGGTAAAATTTTTTAATAAGTATAAAATTTGTAAAAAATTTCATAATTAAATTCTTTTCTTAGGATTAAATGTAAAATAAGTCAATGCAATTTAAAATAAATCTAAAAATCAGATAAATTTGAGTTAGAAAAAGTGTTTCTAGAGATTTTTCATTAACAAAGCATGGGTTTCACCTATTCAGAACCTTAATTTAATTTAGGTTCATGATTGACTTATTTTTCTAACATATTTTTTTAAAAATTATTTATATTTTTTAAATCATTTCTGTGTTGCATTATATATATGTGGTTTCAAAAATAAGTTGCTATGTAGCTCTAAATTTAATTGAAGCAGTTTTAGTTGTAGCCAATTATCAATCTATTTTCTCTTTTATTTTCTATTGTAAACTGAGTAACTTTTATTTTGTTCTAAAATTATATTTTCATTTTTTTTTAATAAAATCATATTTATTTTTAGGTTTGGGAGGAAAAATCTTGAACGCATTGTTGGCTGGTTAATTGATAATGAAATAGATAAGTCTGCATCAATTTTGGATGCTGGCTGCGGAAATGGCATGACCTTAATTTCATTGGTAAAATTCTATTTTTGCTTGAAGTTCATTGTTTAAATAGCTTATTGTTGCAACCATAACATTGTTACAAAACTTGTTGAGCTATTTAAAATGATATTTCATTTTGTATAATAATATTAATTATGAATGTCTATCAGTATAGTGTTTAAATAAATTTCTATCATAAATATTGAATTTAAATATCATAGCAGTGTACATTTCAGAGAAATATATGGATGATTTTTTTAACATTGAATTACATAACCAAAAAGAACTAATGATCAAGAAAGTTTTTACCATTTTGATTCTAAACAAATTTGTACCAAAGTTTCCCCACTACAAATTCATTCCTTGAATAGGAAAGAAGTAGATTTTTTTTCTTTTTTCGAAAAAGGTACTAGCATAACATTTAGAAAAGCCTCAGATGTTAAATATTAATAACATAAATTACTACAAAATCTCTTGCTTGTTTTTCATAAATACGTAAAAGGTTTTATCTCTGTTATTCTCTTATTATAAAAATTTGTGTTTTCTTTTTTAAATAATTTTAAAATTTCCAGTAAAATTGATAAATAAAATAGGCTGTTGTAAACTATTTTTTTATGAAATATTTTCTCTTATAAAAACATTTCAGTTTACTTCACAGTTCCTATTTTATGCTTATTTTTGTGAGAAGTTTGTTTACAACCCATCTGTGTGAAATCAATTTAAATTTATGTAAGGAAATGTAGTAGTACAATCTAGCATGTTTTTTTTTTCTTTTTTTTTTTATGAAGTTAAAAATGTTTGTAAAATATTTAACAAAAAAAAATTAAACAGGGGATTATACAAATTTAATACAAATCTTTTTTATACTATGCAAAATTTAAAAATAAATGTATTTCTCATTGAAAATATGAAGTAATTTATTATTAGGCTATTAAATTATATTTCTGTTAAGGTATCACTCTTTAAATATATATTTAAAAATAATCCTTTATTTCTAAAGACAATTTTTCTTTGTGGACGTACTAATTTAATTTTATTCGTAAGATCTATGTGAAAGTGCTCATAAATGATAAGAAAATTGACTAACACATGTATTTTCAGTTCTTTTGTAAAAAACAATCATTTTTAATGACCACTTACTTACATTTTTAATGATCTTTAGTAAAAGCCCCTCCCCTCCAAAAAAAAAAAGAGTTATAACATTTTTAAAAAATATAATTCTTTTTGTATGTCATATCCTATTTTAAAAATTAGCTGATTGCTACTTTATTGAGGATATAATATAATTTTATTGTATTCAAAAAATAAAAATGTGTGCATTTATTTAATCGACTGACTTTATAATATATCCTTTGAAAGGTAGAAATAATATTAGTTTATTTTTAAATATTCGAGTAAAAATAGTAATAGGTAATTATTATTAATAGCTGTTGAAAGAAATTGAGTCAGTAAATGTTATGTGTAAATGCTTGAGGAAAAAAAATTACATTTTATAATCTATTAAACACAAAAAAATGATAAAATTTGTAATGCATAGATAAAATTATTTTATTTTTCAGGCTAAAGTTGGATTTGAAAATTTGACTGGAATAGATTATTCTATTGAAGCCATAGAACTAGCTAAAAAAGTAGCAGAGAGAAACAAAGCTGAAATAAAATATTGGGTAAGCTCAGGGTAAAAAAAATACTTACATTTTTGTTGGTCCAATATGTATATGAGTATACTTAAACTTCAGTAAGAAATCTTGTGCTTTTGACAAAGGAGGTCCTGAACTAAATTTAAAGATGTACTTATGAACAACTAAGGAAAACTGATAGACTATTCGGATTATAATTTTTTCTTCAAGAGGCAATATATCAGGAATTTTGAAGGCACACATGTCCCGAGTGAAAGTTTGTGGCCCACAAGGTCAACTATGTATTAAAAAAATATTTGGAAACTTTTTATTATGAAAAAATAAATTAAAATTATGTTACGGTTGGTGCTTTCTGCCCTAGGGTGCGCTGCAAGCTTTTTACTGTTTATACTTCCAGGTTACTGTCTCCAGTGTATTTTGAAGCCATTTGGCTCACAACATTGTGTTTTGACTCTCCCGAGCAGTATTTCTTCTGTACGTGTAGTATTTTTTTACCCGATTTATTATTTACGTTACGTTTACCCAACGTAGGAATCATCATTTGAAAAAAAATAATAGTCGTAAAATATTTCTTACCTCATCAACAATATTCCAAATTCAAATCTAAATAATAATTTGTGAAATAAACTTATTCTCTCAGCTTGAAAAATATAACACAAACGTATGATGAAGCAAGACTTGCAACAAGAACAAACAGTAATAAATAGGTAAAAAGAAGCCAAATCAATACAGCCAATAAAGCAAGTTCTTTCTAAACAATACATCTATAAATAACTGAAACAAATTTTCACTTCAAACTCACCAGAATTACTTAATATCATATGAAATACAGCAGATTTGAAGTCAGAAATAATGTAATTTTATTCTTTTATTAAAAACAAAATTATTAGTTAGAAAATATTGCCTCACAGAATAAACAGCTATATACTTTCTAACCGGAGGTAGAAAGTCCAGGGCTCAAGATAGTTGTTTACATTTATATTGAAAACACCATCCATATGAATTAAAGTAATTTCTATTTATTTTTTCTTCTAAAAATTAAACTGAACATTTTCCTCCAAAATTATACAAACTAATTTTGTAGTAATGTAATCATTATTGTATAATTTAATTATGTAACTTTTTAATACTACAAATTAATGCTTTATATATTTTCAATTAATGTAAGGAAAAATTTTTCTTAAACTATTGTTAAATCAATTTTAATAGAAGAATTTGAATTGTGAGAAGCAGACACATTTAAAAAAAATAAAAAAAATTATGTCTTTATTGACTAATTTAAATTTTAATGCTTCAATTGATTAGATAGATGAAATTTAGACGTATTTAGAGATGGAAAAAAATTGTAACACAAAAGAGCATCAACCGTTCAGATTAACATTTACAGTTTTTTCATCATAAATTAATTTTAGTAATACCCAGCTCTGAGCAAGTAGATTATATTTTAAACCAAAAATCTACATTTCAAGTTCTAATTAAATCTAATTTTTTATTTTTATAGGCATTAGACATTCTACAACCAGACCCAGTGTTTGTCAAAAGATTAAAAGAATTCCATATTATCATAGATAAAGGTAATTACTATCATTTGTTAAACACCCAAATGAATAAAGTTAAATGCAATGATACATTAAAAAAATTTTGTACTCGGATATTATTTTTAATTGCTTAAATTTACGTTAATTTTTATTTTAGTTTGATAGAGTTTATTCTATTTTAACACATTATTTTAGATCTATTTAAAATGAGTACCTGCATAGTTCAGTTAGTAAAATGAGTAAATTTTTAATTTTTTTCATAAATAAGTACACTAAAATACTTTACTAAACAAATGGCATTTTTACCCGATGTGTAATGAATCTTAAAAGTTTATATATATTTTACTATTTTGCACACATTTTTCATTTTACCAAAAAGCTAATATGTTTATTTTTCTAATTTATGAGACGATTGAGAAATGAAATAAACATTTTAAACAGCGCTTATTTTATTTCTTGGCAATTTAAAGGAAGTTATTTCTTCCTATCCAGTTCTTGCTTTAATAGCCATTTGATGCTTTTTGACTTAATTGATTTTCAAAAATACAATTATATACATAGTTTTTAAGTACGTAAATTTGTTATATTTTATTATAACTTGAAGAACCATAATGAGAAAATTTAGCATTTCACAAAGATATTAAATTGTTTTAATTTTTTACAGTACTTTAACGCAGTTCTTTTTTTGATTGAAAATTTTTGTTGTCAAAAAAGTCATTATAAACAATAGTAAAAATCAACAACTAAAAATTTAAAAAAAGATGTTAAAATGTGTATTATAACTAAAGAAACATATTAATAAAGTGTTTCTGAAAATGACATATCCCAAAAAATCCAGTTATTTACTAAATGTATTTAAAGTTTTGCAAATACTGTGCTCTTGATCAATCGAAATTAATTAAGAGCCTTTTTAACTACTTACATAATTCATTTACTAAAGATAACTTCAAAATTTGTTTAAACAGAAAATCGAGAACCAGGATCAACTTCTTAAATATTATGCTACTAGAAAATTTCATATAGAATCTTCCTCTCTAAGCACTAATTTTGCAATCAGTAACAGAAAGAAAGACTGACACTGAAGGGAAAACTTTGTTAAGCGGGAAGCAGTGTTACAACTCAGAAGAAACAGATACTTTTTTAAGAAATTTGTCTAAAAATTACACAAAATGCATTAAAATGTATATATTTTCATACAAAAATAATGTTTTTTTTGCAAATATATTGTTTTGAAACTTTAGAAAAAAAATTTGATTTAACATAATTTTTAGGAACTTATGATGCAATATGCTTAGACAGAGAACATATACAGGAAAAAAGAGAGCAGTACATACAAGCAATACAAAATCTTCTATCTCCTATGGGTTATTTTATAATATTCTCTTGCAATTGGACCAAAGAAGAATTGCTGTTGTATTTTAAAGGTAAAATTATGCTGAAGAGCTTTATCACTTTTCTTATGATCTAATTTAATATATCATTCATATATTTTAGTTTTTATTTACTTTTTCAGCAATGTGTTATTAATGTTCCGATTAAAAAATTTCAATTCACTATTTTGTAATTAAAAGCTTGATTTATTTTTATATTAATAATAAAATAACATTGTTTGCTTTTGTTTACAGACTGGACCCTCCACGATGAAATAAAAATACCTACTATAAATTTTGGTGGTAAAACTGGACAAACTGTTACTGCTTTAGTGTTACATAAAAACAAATTGTAATGCAAAAAATGTATTTTAATAAATTGTTTTATACATAATTTAAAAATTTTCTATGTGTGGTAATTTTTTAAAAATTAGTAAATATATATTCACATCATGGAATAATTGTTAGGTTATAAAAAATTTTATTAAAATAGTTTTCCTGACTTTTTCAAAATGATTAACAAATTAAATAGTATGAGTATAGCTTTAAAATATATACAAATCAAATATTATAACATGTTGTTTAAATGCAATTGACACTATCGACTAAAAACAAAATACCAATTAACATTGTAAAACATTTAATGCATAACATTCATATTAATAAACAAGCAGCCCAAGATGAATGTATTTTACATAAATATAACAAAATTAAGTAAAAATAAATTGGTCCATTTGACAAAAAGAAAAATGTTAGTTTCTAGATTTATTGTTCAAATTTAAATCCTCTCTTCTTTAAATCTTCTTTTGCTTGTTTTATTTCCTGTAAAAAAAGAACAAATGTTTTTAAATAAAAAAGAAAAGTTACATACATAGTTTTTAAGTACGTAAATTTGTTATATTTTATTTTCATTGTTTTTATATGCATTATTATAACTTGAAGTACCATAATGAGAAAATTAAGCATTTGACAAAGAAATTAAATTGTCTTATGTTCAGATTAAATTTTATTTTTACTATGAAGTAATACACTTATTGAGGTTACAAATGCAGGGATAAAGATCTTGTGCTTTTACACTAATTTTTGCTAGTTGTGATTTTTACCAAACTTTTCGTTTAGTATGATTTTTTTTATTTGATCAAAAATTTGGATATCATAAAAGAGATATCCAAGGTTTTGCAGCATTTCACATAAGTGTGCAAAATTGTGCATATTTTTTCCTTGCTTAGTGTAAATGCTATTGCCAAAAAATCATGCAGTTTGTTTCAAAACGCACAAAATTCTGGCATTTTTAGAAACTTGCGGATTTGAAATGGGATTGTCATGACTAATGCACACCATAAGGGGATTTTTCAAATATGCGATTCAAAATTCCAAAAATCTTAATAGTGTCAAACCAAAAAAGAAATAGAGATTTTAAAAGCCAGGTGATAATTGATAGCAATAATAGGTAAAAATGCCATTGACAAAACAGAGTTTATTTACAATAAATTGTCTCAAATTCTGAGCATCAAAGTGATTTTTGAAATTCTTTAGTTAAAATTAACCATATCTAGCATTAAAAAATTGAGATTTTAAAAACAAAGTGAGAATCCATAGCAGTAACTGGAGAAAATGTAATCGATGAAACTACAGTGATTTATGGTTAGATTGTCAATGAACAAGCGGTTAAAAAAAGAGGGTTTCTTGAAATGCATGATTCAAAAATTACTATACAAAATATAATTAAAATATCTAGATTTTAAAAATCATGTAAAAATCCATAGTAATAACTGCCAAAAAAACAATAGACTAAATCCATCCATGGGGGATTTTCAGTAGAATTATCACTAATTCAATGCTCAAAGGGTGATTATACAATTGTGTGATTTAACATTTATGGTACTTTATAATATTGTATTAAATCATGGGGATTTTTTAAAAATACATTTGTTAATTTGAAGCAATAGCAATCAACGAAACTTCATGGAGTTACAATAAAATCAACGGTAATTATCAAATGTGTCAAAAAGTGGGCATTCAAATGCTTGTTTCGAATTTTGTGGTACAATACGGTAACATTAAAACATCAAAATTAAAAAAAATCTGGCAATTTGCTCAGAAAGAGATGGGCAAAATCTCTACTGATTTTTAACAAAATCCTCACCAATAGTTACTCTGATTCGAAATTTGTTGTAATGTCGTATTTATTTAAGGTAATGTCTTTGATCAGATTTCACATAAGTAAGTTTAATTTCTTATAGTATAATTACTAATTTTTAAAATACTTATTGTTCAGACACTTTTTAACTGATTTGTTTTAAAATTCAGCCAAAGTAGTTCAAATCTATTATAATTTAGTCAAAGAATTATTGAATTCAAATTAACTTTTTTTCAGAATTGAATACAAAATACTAACAAACATAAACTTTGTGACTATTTCAATTCAAGAAAATCCAACCAGTGCATATTTTTCAAAAAGAATTATGTCTGTATAGCAAAAGTATATCTGGTGTATCCATTTAATAACTTAAAACCTCTAATTGCTTAAAAATAGTTTGCTTTCCTGGATAGAAATTTCAATTCATTTTTTTAAAAATTTGATTTTCATAATTTAAAATAAAATAACAAATGAAATAACCATTTTCAGTTCTTCGGCCGCTTCTGGACAGTCATTGAAGGTATATACCCGGTATAGTACAACAAACAAAGAATAAATCTGAAAATAAATCAATAACTACTTGTAATTATGGTTTTTAAAAAAAAGTCTAACAAAAAAAAATAGCATTTTTTAAAACTTTTTCTTATATTGTGAATTGTTATTTTAAAAATATGACAATATTTCAAAAGACTATTTTTTTTCGCTAAAAGCAAAAAATTTTTTACTTATTTTTAAATTATTTCAATCTCAACTGAAACATATTGTATGAATTTTGCTAAAAAATAAAATATGGACCACCCTAAATAACTTTTGATCTTTACAATCGTCACGTTCTAGGACTCATTCTTAATGGCCTGAGGGGGTGACCTTCAATATGCTATTTAACAAGTGCAGATGATATTTTAAGTTATGAAACAGACCCAAAAATGTACTTTCTCTGAATAAACAAAGGTTCTTTTTTTTTTTTTTTTTTTTTTTTTTTTTTTTTTTTTTTTTTTTTTTTNTCTGACCCCCAAAATATAAGGGGTAGCTGCAATCTGAGAAATATGGTCCCAATAGTTTGGTCAGGAGAGCAGTCTAAAGTTTGAACCCTTTAAGGTTAATTTTACTTTTTGTGTATTTCGCCATATCACAGTCCATTTTTTCTTGGTGCACTGTACATTTATAATGCTTAGTTAACAGTTGTAATTCACTGAATAAAAATGTAGAGATGGAAGAAACAAAAAATAACATAGCCAAACAATACAAAATTCCCTTCTATAAGTATAGATTATGGCATTTGCAACTGAACTATTATGAATTTCAGTATAATGATTAACACTGTTGATTTGTGTTAAAACTATGCTTGAATTAGCAGCTGTTAAAAATTGTTGAGATGACAAACCTAAATTTTTTAATGTTCTTGATTGATATAGTTTGTGAGGAATCTTCGACATTAATAATCACCCTATTTATTTGTTAAGTAAAAAAAGATTTTTATAGTAAAATTCTGAGAAAACATCAAATTTAAAAGTAAAGACAAAACAAATTGAATTAAATAAAAAATTACCAGATCTGCACAAGGCAGCTACAAACATATTTGACCATAAATAAAAATTTTAATATATTACACACCAAAATTTTTTAATAAAATTAGAATGTAAACTAGTGGCTGGGTTCAACATAGAATTCTGGTAAAAATTCAGCCAACAACTACAAATCCAAACGTCACAGTTAATTGGAATAAAGAAAGAATTTGAAGAGTGGTTTTTCAGATATTTTGTGTACAGCTAACAAAAAGTTTTTTTTTTCCACCTTTATGTTGGATGTTTGCTTTTCCACACAACCTTCATGAAATTTTTTTAATCTATTCAGACAAAATAATCATGTTATTTTGATCGAAATGATTATTCACACAAAGATGTTAATTTATTAAGATTGCAGATGCATACCATTTTCAGAAATATTTGTAACTTTTTGTTTAATAAATTTATTTTATATTTGTAATATCAATAGATTCATGATAGAGTGCTTCATCATTTGAATGACGACCAGAATATCACTGAAAAATTCGTCATGTTTTTATTCTAGAACTACTTTGATCCATTTCAGTGCCTTTCACTTTAAAATCATTACCATTTACCTTAGCGTTTTATTGTATCAGTTTGTATACTGAATTCTGAGGTCCAAAAAAAACACACTGATTTTTTTCCCACCTTTGCAAAATCATCATTTTATAATATGTTTAACAAGAATCAATTAAAATTACCACAAAATTAAAAGGAAAAAGAGAAGAATGTTAGCTAAAATTTACTATGAAATAAAATTCAGGCGAGCAACAAGTAGCCATTATTCAAAAACTGCTGTTTAGAGATTTACCTACGAAAATAATATGGAAGATTTTATGGTTTAAAAAAAAAAACATTCAGTTCCATAAATGTATGGTAGTTCTTTGGAGGATACTCTTCTCTTATTAAGATAGGTTTGTCTGTTTCTTACTAGCATTAATATTCAGTGTTTCAAACTATCTAAGCCAATACAAACTTTTATCAAAACAATTTTTTATATATAATTTTAGGAAATATAATATTTCATATATAATGATTACAAAGTAAATAAAAAAAAACAATACTCACACCAAAAGCAATTACTCCATATAAAGGTACCTAAAAAATTTATAAAATAGTGTTTAAAAAAACAATTATTAACAATTAAATGAATTGATGCATTCTTAAAAGTAATGCTTTGAATTAGTTGCTTTCCTTTTGTAAAAATATTAAGATCTTTTACTTAAGTACTTATAAATGGTATTTTAAAACTTTTTTTACTCTAAAAAAAATATACAATATACAAGTTGGTGTTATTAAAAAAAAATACAACAATTCTACACATGTGGCTAAATTTTTCAAGGGTACGGAATTAAATTACAGTCACAATAGTTTCCTAAATTTCAAACATAAAAAAATCTTAAATGTGTTAAATATCAGCAATAAGATAAATTATTTTTAACTCTCTCTTGTTTTTAAATTTCAAGAATTTAATTCGATGATAGGTAATTTGCAAAAATTTACTTATCTGAAGTATTAATGAAGAGTCACATATCCACCATCCCCACCATAATTCTGTATTAGTTAAATTTAATACGTTCTTAAAATTTTAGGTTAATATTTGGCTTAGGTAGATAGTATTAATATTTTTGTCTTTAACAAGTAATATTCTTGTAAAGTAAAACAAAATAAAATTAAAATAATTTAAAGTAAAATATTATGCAGGCTATAAAATGTTTAACGAAGTATAGCATTTTAAATAGTTCAACGAAATCATTAATAAGCATTTTATTCATTACCATAAAGAATAATACTTTAATCATTAATTTATTTATAATATTTTACATAAAAGCAAAAAAGGCGTTGAGCTCAAAGTCGCTGGAAAGAACACTGATTTTTATATACGTACAAGCCAAGAATGCCAGTCTTGATTATTCAAAATTATATTGTTCGTTAAACAGGAATACCAAATCCCAGTGACAACAAACAAACCGGTAAACCATTCCGCAAGTTTAGTCATAATTGAATTTTTATTTTCGATTCAACAAAAATATAATTATCATATCAAAAGTCTTTAAAAACAATTGTGTAATACTAATTTGATGAACATTCATTAAACAAGCAGACGTGCATCACTATTATTGCTTTGACAAGCCCGATTTGGATTTCCGGTTACCGGAAATACGAAACTAGCACGATATTTAGTCAAGAGTGATCCACAAAAAAAAAAAACATCTTGTATCTCTTGTTTGTTTTTTAAAATTTGAAATATTTAATGCTTATAAAAAAATATTATTGAATATTTTCGATCATTTTTTAGTGTTTTTATTGTACAAAGTAAAAATTACTTACAGTTAAAATTTCTTGTATAGAAAGTGGAATCTGGGTACGGAATAGAAAGAACATCGAAATATAAATATAAACACAAGTAATGAAATTCATCTGTTATCTTGATTATAATCTGATATTAGTAAGGATTATTGGGCATCTTCATCTAATTAATTTCTTGAATTAAAATTTAAATAGCTCTTTAAAATGAGAGCTATTAGAATAGAGAGGTTTGGTCCACCTAAAGTGTTGATACTTAAAGACATTGAAAAACCTGAAGTTACTCCTTATAAAGTATGTTAAATTCACTATTGAATACAGTTAATAAGTCATTTATAGTACAATTCTAATTCTTTTTTTTTTCATTTTTAAAATAAATCTACGAAGTATCAGAACTTGCATCCTTGAATAAGATTAAATTAAAAATTTTAAGAACTTTTAAAATTAAAACACACAAGAAAATGCTTTCTAGGATTCTTAAATGAATTTTTTCATCAATTCAGGAAAATTTTTGTACTAATTATAAAAGTATTTTTCACGCTAATTTTTTTTTTTTTTTAAAGTAAGAATTAAAACTGTGTTTTTAACTTTATGGTTATTATCTTTGTTTGCCATTGGGGTAAAAATATACTTGAGGGTGCCCCTTGACGAAATTGGTGACTTATGTTAAGCACCATTCCTGTTTGCGCTGAACAAAGCGGTAACAGGAATGACGGCCAAAACATAATGATATTTCAATGAAACATTGGAAAATTTCAACTAAATATCGGCAACAACTTTATAAAATTGCAATGAACCCAATGTAAGCAAAATAAATAAACCCAATAAAACGCATTTTGAATTGAAACAAAAATTAATGGAGTATGCACAGAAAGAAAAGAGGAAAAAAACAACTCAATTCTTCATTAAGCTTGAATATCCTCAGATTTAGGTGCACAGAATTCTCTAATAGCTGTTAGATACTGTCTAAATTTATCATGAATAGAATCTGTGTACCTCTATTGCCACATAAATTTGGCGAAATACAATCGAAAATTGCATCTGTGGTACTGGACTGGCGGTGAAGTTTTTTTTCAAAAGTCCCTTTTTATGACTGCCCATATACCTTCGATCTTATTGACCAGAAGCAAAAGTAACCTTTCCAACCAGTATCCAACGTAGAACTGATGGACTTCTAAAATTACACATACCGTTGACCATTTAAAAATAACACTAAAATCTAAACCGATCAGAATCACGAGTGGGTTTCAACATGGCCCATCTTGGCGACCAACCGCGATCACAACTTGGCGAGAATTAAGGGGCAACCTCAAACATAGTCTACCCGCCATTGTGATAAGATTATTTTCTTCTATGCATTAAAAAAAAAAAAAAATTTAAAAACTGAATTAGCGAAATGTAATACATTTTTTTTTTGATGCCAAATATATATCTGATTCTTTAAAAGTGTCCTTAATTAAAAAATAAACAGAGATTAATTGAAATATTAAATTTTGCTGTTCATCTATATTTTAGATTTTAGTCAAAATAATATCTGCAGGAGTGAATCCTGTTGATACCTATATCCGTGAAGGTTTTTACATCAATTTGCCTTCACTTCCTTTTACTCCTGGGAAAGATGCTGCTGGAATTGTTGAATCAGTTGGTGAATATGTTACCAAATTCAAGGTAATTTTTTACTCTTAATACTTAAGATAAGATAAGTAATAAGGCTAAAATAAGTGCACAAAAATTGATTTGTAAATTTTAAAGCAATTGAATAATTGTACCAATTTAAGAAGAAATAATAATATAATAAAAATTACATCTAATTTTTTGGTACTTATGGTTAGCTGTACACAAAATTCATTTTTTAAAAACTTTTTTTGTTTAATGTGTTCATTTTTTCATTTTTTTAAAACTTTTTTTGTTTAATGTGTTTAAAAAAAAAAACTTTGAAAAATTGGTGTTACACATTTTTTTGGCTACTCTTTGGTTTTACCTGCCTAACTGAAAAGTACCACTTTTTTTTTTAAATTATGCAAACTATTAAAGTTGTGTATGCTTCTTAAAAAAATGTTATAGCAAAACTTTTTTAATTCTGTTTTTTTTTTTTTTTTAATTTGTTGATTGTTCTTTAATGCAATTTTTAAATTATGAATATTATTAAAAACTGTGTATGCTCTTAAAAAAATTTTAAAGCAAAACTTTTTTTATTATGTTTTTTTTTTCATTTATTTCTTTACTATTATTTTTTTATGCCATTTTGTAGTACTTAGTTTTTTTGGCGGATATGTAACAAAATGATTTGGCCAAATAGCAGCATTTTTATTTAAAAATCGTTTTAATAAATATTATTTTTCATACATAAGTTGTCATAATTGAAAATTGATCAAAACTTAACCATATTATTGGTATAACCATATTATTGGTATTGGTAACCATATTATTGGCTTAGCTAAATTATTGATTTTAGTAATTTAACTCTTTCACATTGCTGTATTATTAGAAAAAAGTGATGATAAAAAAATTATGTTCAATAAAAAATCTCTTTAAAAAAATATTGTGTTATAATGAAAACGCTGATAAAAGAAAACGATCAAAAGAGAAACCAAAAAGCCATTCTTATTTCTTAAAATATGACTTTAACGTTGAAAATCACAGCTTTCTTTCTTACCAGTTATCTGTCTTACCGTACAGGAAAAAGTGTAGTCTATGAGATATGCTCCATTAAAATGGTGAGCCATAAGGAAAACAGTAAAACTAAGAAGGAAAAACAATGTTCTCAATCCTTAAAACAAAGAGAGTTTAAAAAAAATAGCCAAATTAACTTGCCTGAAGCTAATGGTAAAAAAATGACAATACAAAACATGTGGTGTGTTATAAAGTATTTTAGTTTCAATTCTTCAAATTTCCTTTTTCCATTTACCTTACAGAACATAAATTTGCACACACATGAATTTTAGAACTTAACAAACATATGTAAAAATTATTTCAAATAATGTATAGTAAAAATTAATGTTTTAAATTATTTTTTATTTAATCAATTCAAAAATTAAAAACTTGGTCAAAAAATACTTTGTCAAACATTAGACCAACTGAACGTTCGGCAAAGGGGCCGAATATTCGTTACATCCCTAATTTTTTGCTTTGGTTGTAGTAGATTAATATTTTAAAAAAATTTTGTTTACACTCTAAAATAATATAAATTAATTATCTAACCTGAAATTGTTATTTTACTATGATTCCATTATTGTTTCATAAGTATTAAACAGATTTTGCTAGTTTTTAAAAGATTCAGCATGACATATCTGAAAAAAGTGGTGAATTATATAAGCCTACGAATTGTTTAGAAATAGTAGTATTTTTTATTTTCAAATAAGTATTTAATAAATCTTAAAATTATTTGTATTGAAATAAATGTGTATAAAATTAAATGGGTGTAATTGAAATATATTTATCAATAACAAAACAGCAAATTATTTTGCATGTAGCGTAGCAATGAGCACATCAAAATATGAAGATAATATGAAATGAATAATGAAAAATTATAATATATAAGTTATATTCGTATCTACATTTAAGCACTTAAAGAAAGAGATAATATTTTGTTTCTTAATTTATTAACTTATTTCTTGATTCCATGAATAAAAAGTTTATTGTCAATGAGATTTGATAACAATAGTTTATTATCACAGCTTCAATTATAATATATTAGTTAATGGAGTGCTGTACAAATATTATTTTTAGAAGAATCTATGATTTAAGAAGAAGAAAAAATCATATAATTCAGATCAATGATTATAAATATTTTTAAATCATGCCCACCTTACTTTTTATTTTGCTTGCCATTTTCCACAGCAGTTCTTAGGAATTGCCCTCCACTCACTCTTGCAAATCAACAATAGTTGAAATTTTTTATTCAATTAATTTCTATGATCTAAAAAGTTGATAGTGGACAAAAAGTTCTATATTGTTATTTTAAATATTACACTCATGATATAAGAAAACAATAACTGAAATGAATTTAGACTCATTTGGAAACATAAATTATAATTATAATAACTCATACAAATTATGTATCCAAGGAATAGTAAAAATATATCCAAGATTTAACAAATATAAAGAAAAACTTGTAATAATACTATTAATTAGTCTGGAATTTTTGGCCTCTCAGGGCGGTCGCCCAGCTCACCTACCTCTGAGCAAAGTCTTGACTCTTTCATTATTATTTATTGTAATTTATTGCTCAAACCTTGCAACTTTGTACATTGAGTATTGTTTTTTAGGCAGGGGACAGAGTTTTCATCTGTGGTCGGAACTTGGAACAACATGGGACATATGCTGAATATACAGTTGCACCTGAATCAAATGTCTTTCCTTTAGATGATAAATTAAGTTTTGATGAAGGTGCAGCCTTAGGGATTGCTTACTTTACAGCCTATCGAGCTTTAGTTATAAAGTAATGATAATTTATTTTCATCACATTTAAGGATTTTATACATTTTTCTCATAAAAATTGACTTTAATTTCTACTGAATTGTTTTTCTTTAATATTATTCATGTACTCATTATTTTAAAGAAATATTATATAGCTTCTAAATAATTTAAAATTTATTTCATAAATTGAAAAATATTTTCTTGGTAAACAAATACCAAAACATTATAAATAAATTCCTCTTTCTAACATTTTTAAAAATGTATAATAAAGATAAATTATTACCATATTAAGATGCTAATTAATTGCCATGAGTAATTATTATTACCATAATTACCTCTGATCATATTTAGTATACTAGAAATAGTGTATATTTTTTATTAAATATTTGGTGCTTTTCGGTGAGCTGGGAACAATTTTTATTTTAACGTTATTTTTTAATACAATATATATATA